CCGCTGCCTTCAGCTCAGGTCATGATCTCAGGGTCCTGGGACTGAGTCCTAATCGGGGAGCCTGCTTCTCCCTCTCCCTCTGCCACTCCCCCTGCTTGTGCTCGCTCATTCTCTCTCTCAAATAAATAAAAATTTTAAAAAAAGTATTGTGTAGGGCACACTTGTTTATCTGAAATTCAAATTTAACTGGGTATCCAATATTTCACCTGGCAGTCCTATCCTAATCTTATTAGGGTGATGCTAACATACTTGTGCAACCTCTGACCTGGAGGAAGACGGTATCTTTATTATCCTGGTGAAGAAACAAATCTGCCTTCTCCCCCAGAGGGAGACACTACCTCTGTTTTCCCAGGCTGTTTGCCAAACAAGTATCCTTGGAAAGCTTGTCCAGGATAAAAGCTGTCACAACACATGTAGAAACGCCGTGGAGAATTGCCCAGCAAAATTTCGCATAAACTGAGGTGTAAAAAAAACTGGCAACATCTACCTCATGTAGTTGATTTAGGGATTCAATTAGATGATTGTGTAAAGTACTCAATAAATGCTAATCCCCAGTTCAATGTTAGTTTACTACCTGACTGGTATTTGTTGTTTTTAATTCTTTCAAAACCCCTTTTGTCAACCTTCTATGAATTCATTTAGCTTGCCAACCTCTCTAATCCTGTGCACTTGTGCTCTCCTCCCCACGTTTCCACATTTTAAGATCTAGCAGCACTGCCCCATGTAGAGTTCTCTGACTATCCCGTGCTGAGCACACCTCTAGGAGTTTGCATTGCTGTTGACTATGATTGGAATGACCGTGTTCCATTCTCAGGATGTCTGATAACTTCTATTTTTCCTTCAAGGTTCAGCTACCATGTCACCTGCTCCAGGAAGCCTTTCCAGAAACTCCCAAGACATAGAAATGTTTTCTTTCCTATGTCCTACTTACAACAGCTACTTTCATTTCATGTTTGTATCTGTTGTGGGTGGAACTATGGAGATTTTCATCTACAACCACAGTAATCTGATCACTGCACAGTTGCCAGATTTTTCAAGTGTGCCTAGATGAAAGCTACATGCACCGTGTACTGGGGGTGCCCCGACCTTTGGCTTCAGACTCAGAGTTTGTCCAAATTCTACCATCCAGCCTTGACCATTGCAAAGTAGAATAGCTGATGCTCACTCAGTGTCGTTGCTGGTGTTCTTAGACCTATTCAAGAGTAATGGCTGTGCGATTGGGTAGATTTCTATCATGTCCCATCGGTGCATCAATCTTCAATAACATAAACATGGCATCTCATTTATATTTATTGTTAATATCTGAATATCTACTTTCAAATGTAGGTATTCTAAATTCTAGATAACTTGGTAACTTGAAATGCTAAATTTGACGATGTGCTTTATATGTTGAACTGCTAACAGTCAGTTGAAGTATTGTATTTTTAATATTGCAAAAGTAAAATGTTGCAATAATTATTGAGGATTATGGAAGATGTTGGTTCTATGTAATAAAAAAAATTTCAAGTAGTTAAATAAATATGTTAACAGTTAATGTGAATATTGAAAGAATGCCATCCAGATAGCTTTAGGAAGAATATTATATCCTTTTTGAGCCTACAGGTATTTATAAACATATAAATACTACCATAGGGCAAAATAGTAAAGTTTAGATTATATCATAATTCTAATTACTGTAGAATTCTTTGATGCAATTGCATTTTAAATAAAACCTGTAGAAGGGCACCTGGCTGGCTTGGTAGGCAGAGCATGTGACTCTTGATCTCGGAGTCATGAGTTCAAGCCTTATGTTGGGCATACAGCTTACTTAAAAAAATAAAATAAAATAAAAAATACTTTATAAAAATATAGAGAAACTAATGTTTAATTACTTAATTCCATTTAGTCTATGAATCTTAAAAAGCCCTATTTTGTAATTTTTCACATAGGAGGATAAATTAAAAGCAGAATGTCAACACGGCCACCTCAATATTTCACAAAGACAAAAAAAACTCATGTATAACACAGATATGATAAATCATCTTTGAGTCATGTACTCTATACTTAAAAGTATAGAGACAGCATTAAAAAAAAGAACATTTAGATAAAATGAGACACCCAAAATACATTTGTCTCTCTAAACAATGAACTTTTCAAGAATGCTTTTAATAAGGCAATATGTCATGGTTTAGTATCTGTGAAGACAAATGCTTTTTAAAGCTTGTAGAAATAATTGCAATAGATTAATTAAACCATTTCAGCAGTGGAAGAGAAAGAATTTTTGAGATTTGCCAAAGCTGTGGATTCTAAATATTGCTTTATTTTAGAAAACATTCCTTTTTTTTTTTTTAAGATTTTATTTATTTATTTGACAGGGAGATAGAGCCAGAGAGCACAAGAAGGAGAGGGTGAAGCAGGTTCCCCGCTGAGCAAGGAGCCTGATGTAGGGCTCCATTCCAGGCCCCTGGGATCATGACCTGAGCTGAAGGCAACGGCTTAACTGACTGAGCCGCCCCTAGAAAACAGTCCTAAAAACTTTCTCCTGGTTTATATTTTCTTATACACAAAAAGGTTAATGAAAATGTTAAATGTGCTCCCAAAGTATATGGTGTGACGTTTGGACCCAAGGTTGGAAGAATCAGCCTTAAGTTTTTAGGTTTGATGACATAGAGGATTACTTTCCTTACTTGATGAAAGTTTCTTGGGGCACCTGGATGGCTCAGTCAGTTAAGCATCTCCTTCCAGCTCAGGTCATGATCCCAGGATACTGGGATGGAGCCTCACATCAGGCTCTCTGCTCAGCGGGGAGTCTGCTTCTCCCTCTCCCTCTGCCTGCCTCTCCCCCTGCTTGTGCTCTCTCTTTCCCTCTCTCTCTGTCAAATAAATAAATAAAATTAAAAAAAAAAAGAAAGATTCTTGTGTCTCACACAGTGAATCTGACTTTGAGAAATATTTATGGAATATAAAATCAGTAAAGACAAATGCACAAAATTATCATTGACTATACAACAAATATGGTAAAGGCTGTGAGCTCAAACATACTGTAATTTGTTTGCACCATTCAGTTTTATATTCAGAAAATGGTTATAGCTTTAAAAGATGTAATAAAAGGGCAACCCCTTCAGGTCCCCTCCCTCCTTGGGAGCTTTGTACTATCACTTTGCTATTGCTCAATAGACCTTGCTTTGCTGCCCACCAAAAAAAAAAAAAAAAAAAAAAAGAAAGAAAAAGAAAAAAAGATGCAGTAAAAAATGACTGGCTGCAAGCAGAACGATTGTAGACCCCTTCCATAATTTTTCTTTAGCCAATAACAAATTATACAATACACAAGAGATTGTGAAATTGTCTTGTCACATACATATACAAGATATTTAAACAAGCTATTACGTCTTTCAAAGGCTGATCAATAAGGCCTTAATTTTGTATTTCCCAGAGAACATTACCAAAGTAGCAAAACTTACTAATAATGAATGGTTGGTTATATAGAAAGCAGTTTGTTTATTGGAACATGCTGAATAAAATGATGTGCCTTAAGAGTGTATTTCCTGCACAATGATTCCTGCTGAAAAGATCTTCCTTTGAATCTTCCGGGAAGAAGCTGAAATTGGTGTGCATACAGGGAAAGCTACTACAGATGGAAACTTTGATTATTTTCTTAACTTGAAAAGTAGTTAAATTGCTTCATTGTCATATTTCTAAATCCAAACTTTAAGGACAAATTTTTTCTCTAGTGATTGTGTATAGTGGCAAGAACAGACAAGAATATTAGAAATTAAAAATATGAATACAACCATCTTAAATCTGCTTCTGAAAATATGCATCTTCTTGAAAGTACAGAAAACTTCAGTCGGTGAAATTGTTTCACTGGAATCCTGTCACCGCCCAAGAAATTATCAGGGTCAAGAATTAAAAAGGAACAAAGTCTTTACCATAATAATTGCCTATTAGAGGAAGAAACACAATAAATTGGTGGCAGTATTACCATATTATGCTGACAGAAGTAGCCTTGCTACTCCATGAAGCTCAGTTTAAAGTATCTTATTAAGTAATGTAAATGTCCCTATTTATTGGCCATAAGAGCATCCAGCAGTCGCCAGAGCTGAGAAATTACTGTTCTTGACCTTATAAGGTCAAACATTAACATTTTAACTACTACGTTTTTAATGATAAAATCAAAAATGAATTTCCTTTCCAAGAAAGTTCGTGTTTTTTCTTTTCTTTCTACAAGTTCACTCTGTTACGGTGACATTCTCATTTAGGGAATAGCAATTTTTGACTATCAAACATTCACCATTTGACCAAAATGTATTTCCCGGCAGACTTCAAACTACAGGTATAGCTAGTCTAAAAATCGCTTGCGCGCTCCAGAGCAGGTGCCCCAACGGGGTGGTTCTCACACTTTTGTGATTTGTTACTTTGACGGTTATGGACATTGATTTGATTCGTTTGTAGAAATACAGGTTTGGGAGGATTTTCATTCATGCTGAGCATGTCTGACATGAGGGCTGAGCCAGAAACTCGGGGTCATGTGGTTATCGTAACCGTAACACACACTCCGTCAACCCGAAACACACAAGCCCCATAGATAACGCTTGGCTCTCCCCTGTCCGTTAGTGTAGACCCAGCAAACTGCAACCTTGATAATCCGAGAGGTAAAGACGACTATGGATTTCAGTTTGGGTCCTAACACGGGCCACGTGAGACGCGAGCCGCTTCATCTTGTTCGCCACATTTGCTGTTCCTGCAAATGACGAATGTCTCTCCATCACAGATTCGTGCCACTCGCTGTAACGCACCGGCCCGCTCGCACCCCGCCCATTGCCGCCTTTCCAAGTTGGGCTGCCCTGCCGCCGGAGCGCCTCCCTTCGGGCGGCGCCTGCTCACTGGGCCTTCAGAAGAAAGCGCTCCCCAGAAAGAGCCCTGGTTCGGGGCTGGGCCCTGAGGTCTCCTCTGGTAACGCCTCCGGGGGTAAGGAGAAAACCACCCTCGGGCGCCGCACAACCGCCGCCGAGGCGGAAGTGGCCGCCGGGGCCGGCAGGGGGCGCGCTGCGCGGGCGGCGCGGGCCTGCGGCGCGTCTAGGCCGAAGCCGCTCCCAGGGTGCGCTCGGTGCCCACAAAGCGCCAGCTGAGGGGCCGCTGCGGGCCGAGCGCCGCTGAGCCTGCCCGCCACCCAGCTTCACCCGCCGGCCGCCGTGCCTCCGCTGAGTCCCCGCGCCCCAAGCAGCCGCGCGAGCCGGGCGGGGAAGGCAGGGCCGGGCGGGCGCCGCCTGCGGAGAGGCCAGGGGCCGGCCTGCGTGGGACCGCGCGGCGGCGGCGGCGGCGGCGACTCCGGCGACTCCGGGCCGGGCCGGACACAGCGCAGGGCCATGGCCGAGGCGGCCCCGGCTCCGGTAAGGGCGGCCGCGCGCCGAGCGCTGCGGGCCCGGGACGGTGTGGCGCCCAGGGCTCTGCGCCGCGGACCCGAGGGAGGGGAGCAGAACGGGACGCCCGGCCTGTCAGGCGCCGGGCGCTCCCGGGGTCCCGCCGGCGGGGAGGGGCCTGAGGCTCCGGGTGGGACGCCGACGCCGAGCTCGGGGCTGGGAGGGCGCGGCCCCTCCCCCCTCGCGAGGTCCCCGCGCCTCGGGTGCGAGGCCCAGGGCTCCCCCTTCCCATTTGGACGTTTGTGGCGGAGAGCGCCTCTTCCGCTAATGAAAGAGGAATGAGTGCAGAGGGGCTCCTGCCGCTTGGTGTCAGCCCCCTGCAGCCCGCCAGACTTGGGGCGGTTCGCTGGGTTTGGGTTTTGCATCAGCGGTTCTCGGCTCCGGGAGCCGTCCGCACAAAATCACCTTGGGTGCAGTCCACCTGAGCCTCGCACAGCCGCAGATGCGGCGGTGACGGTAACAGCGAGGCGGGAGGAGGGACTGCGTGAGCCCAGGGATCCCCGGGGCCCGGTATCTGACAGTGCCCGCCACGCGGGAGGCCCTCGGTCAGGACTGCTGAATGACGGACTGGTGCGGGTTCCGAGGATGGGATAAGCTTGCATGTGTTTATTCATTCCGCGGGTGTTTACCGCAGGCCCGCAGCGTGCCAAGCGCTCTCCCAGTTGCTATAGCTGCAGAGATGACCAAGAGAGTCCCTGCGCACGAGAGCCACGTAGGACCCATGGGGACGGGTCCAGTAACAGGATTGAAACATGCTTTGGGTTTGTCAGCGAAGAAGCCTTTGGGCACCCCGAGGAGAGCCGTTTTATGGGTCAGGGGCCAGAATGGGCAATTGAGGAGTGCTGGAGAGTGAGAAGGGAAGGAAAAGAGGGAACGGTAGCAGTGGGGTGGGGAGTAGGGCAGAGGGGAATGCTGTCTCTATCCTGAGACCGATTTTCCTTTTTCCGAGTTTGTTTTTTTTTAATGTGGTAGAGATGATCCTGTCTCTAATGCCAATCCTATCTAAGAAATACGACGGAAACTACAAATTTAACTTTAAATTTTCTAGTAGTCACATTCAAAAAGTAACAAATTGATGAAATTAAATTTTTTTTAAAGATTTTATTTATTTATTTATTAGAGAGCGAGCGAGAGAGAAACAGCATGAGAGAGGAGAGGGTCAGAGGGAGAAGCAGGCTCCCCGCCGAGCCGGGAGCCGGATGTGGGACTCGATCCCAGGACCCCGGGATCATGACCTGAACCGAAGGCAGTCGCTCAACCAACTGAGCCACCCAGGCGCCCGATGAAATTAATTTTAATATATTTTATTTAACCCAATGCATACAAAATATTTCAGTGCATAACCAATATTAAGAATTTAATGAAGTTGTACATTTTTTTCCCCATACTGAGTGTGCAAAATCTGGTGTGTATTTTATACTTATGGCACATCCCAATCAAAATAACCACATTTCAAGTGCTCAGTAGCCATATGTGGCTACCATATTGAATAGTGCAGGTCTTTCTTACAGAGAAGCATCAGGAGAGACTGAAATACTGACCATAAAAAAGAGAAAAGAACAATGTCCCTAAAAATGTGGAAGGAGTTGACATTCAGAGCCTAAGTGGAGAGATTAGTTTTAAATAGGATCAAACTTTTTGCTGTGGGAAGGGAGAAAGCATGGGTTAAGCTACTGATGAGTTTGAGGTGGCAAGGGGTGTGGAAAAAAAGGAGAAAGTTGAGAGAGTTTCAGTCTCATTACTCTAATTTTTTTTCTCAAAGTAGGAGGCCATGTTGTTCCCTGAGATTGAGGGGGCCTGCAGTGGACAAGAGTCTTAGTGCTCCACGCATGCTCCTTGCACCAGCACCAGCAACATCAGCATCAAAATGCAGAATTGCAATTTTCCTCCCAGACCTATTGAATCAAAGTCTGCATTTTAACAAGATCTCCAGATGATTCTTATGCACATTACTTTGAGAAGCGCTGTACTAAAAGTTTAAGGAGTGTGCTGGGGGTTTGTAGTGGCCACTTTATGGAATGGGAAGAGAAGCACTGGGGGGAGGGGGGTGGACACCAGGCAGCACTGAGTTCCTGCTTTGCTTAGAAACCATTGGTGTGTGGTGACGCCAGTTTTCCCTGTTGTGTGACTTCCTTTAGTAGGGTTTACCAGCTTGCTTATAGGAAGAGAGGAAGAACAATTAGATTCAAAGCTGGAGCTGGTGAGGCAGAGAGACAGAAAGGGGTTGAAGGTGGTTGAAATGATCAACTGAGGAAGAAAACAAAGCCTGGAACAGGCTAGTAAGCCAGGAGCAAAAGGCATGGTGGGCATGGTGAGGGGTTTAGTAGGATTGAAGAGCAAGTATAGCGGGTGAGCTGGAGAGATGAGAGGTTGTGGCCAGGGAGGGCATTATCAGATTCATGGAGTTGGAAGGCTTTGTAGAGGTCATTCTGGCCCAACCTCCTATTTGGAGAATTTTTTTTTTTTTTAAGATTTTATTTATTTATTTGAGAGAGAGAGAATGAGAGAGAGAGAACACATGAGAGGGGATAGGGTCAGAGGACGAAGCAGACTCCCTGCCGAACAGGGAGCCCGATGCGGGACTCGATCCCGGGACTCCAGGATCATGACCTGAGCCGAAGGCAGTCGCTTAACCAACTGAGCCACCCAGGCGCCCTGGAGAATTTTTTTTAATACACTTTTTGTTTCGCAGCATTTGCAGCGACAAGGCAGCCTGTTATTTTCTTGGAGAGATCTAGTTTCAAAAATTATTTATATAGGCCAGGGTTTGCCTGCCTGAAAATTCTGTGTTGGTTCTAGTTCTGCCCTTTGGAGTAAACGCAGTATAATATTAAACAAGTCTGTTCTGCCTTCTGTTTTATAGCCATCAAATATTTGACAGTAGCCATCATGTTTTCTCCATACTCAACATTCTCAGCTTTAATTAACTATTACTGAATGGTGTGGTGGTGGTTTGTAAGCAGGGTGGTGGACAGGGCCAGAGCATAAGTCATTAAAGGGTTTATCAGAGGGCAGTGAGTTCAGTGAAACCTGGAAAGATCTGATGCACTTTAGGCCTTTTCCAGAAATAGAGGGTACAGCAGCAACCTGAGCCCCTGGACAGTTGGCTCTAGGGCCTAGCATCCCAGGGAATATGCCAGGTTAGTTCTCTATCCAGTTTCACTCATTCACTGTCTTACTTAATTCATCTCTGAGCCACCAAAGCAATTTCTCTTGGCTTTTGATCCTGATGAGCTCCACAAAGATGAAGCTTATGCAGGCAGTATGAAAACTATATTTAGAGTCATCTCAGCTCGTTAACCAGTTAACCAGTCCTGCTTTGATTTTAGTTTGGATTAGGGCTCCTTCCAACACTCAATGTCTTGTCTCTTCTCTCCACTGCATATAGACTTCTGAATGGGACTCTGAATGTCTTACATCCCTGCAGCCCCTTCCTCTTCCCGTGCCCCCAGCAGCAAATGAGGCGCACCTGCAGACCGCAGCCATCTCCTTGTGGACCGTGGTGGCAGCCGTGCAGGCGATAGAGAGAAAGGTGGAGGTCCACAGCCGGCGACTCCTACACCTAGAAGGACGGACGGGGACAGCAGAGAAGAAGCTAGCCAGCTGTGAAAAGACAGTGGCTGATCTTGGGAACCAGCTGGAGGGCAAGTGGGCCGTGCTGGGGACCCTGCTGCAGGAGTACGGGCTGCTGCAGAGGCGACTGGAGAACTTGGAGAACCTGCTGAGGAACAGGAACTTCTGGATCCTGCGGCTGCCCCCGGGCATTAAAGGAGATCTCCCAAAGGTAATGCCCTCCCTTCTGGCTGGAAAGTGGTGCCACTAGTCCTTAGATGAGGAGGAAGGGATAGTGTTGGCCAATCAGGCTAAAGGAAAGATGAAGGTATTTTTTTGTTTATCCATTTGGGAAGCATTTCATGTTCAATTTAGCGATGATTTGAAGTGTCAAACTTAAGAATGGAAAACTCCAGTTCAAAGTTGACTACCTGGCAGATAGATTTTTTTCTCTTATGCTTTTTCCTATCCTTTGCCTCTGAGTCACTTTTTTCTTTTTTTAAAGATTTTATTTATTTATTCATGAGAGACAGAGAGAGAGAGAGAGGCAGAGGGAGAAGCAGGCTCCCAAGGAGCAGGGAGCCCGATGTGGGACTCGATCCCAGGACCCTGGGATCATGACCTGAGCCGAAGGCAGACGCTTAACCATCTGAGCCACCCAGGCGCCCTGAGTCACTTTTTTCTTTGTTAACCTGCTTGCTTCAATCTTGGTGTGGAAACTAAATTAAATATTATTTAAATTAGCCTGTTTGAATCTTTTGGTAGTTCTGGAGAAAAAGAGGAGGACAAGGGAAGAGCTGTAGAGTAAAGGGTTAATAGAAGGGTTTGGGGCGGGATCACACAGGATCCAGTCCCGAGTCCCGCCCCGCATTGCATCGGGCTCCCTGCTCAGCAGGGAGTCTGCTTCTCTCTCTGACCCTCCTCCCTCTGATGCTCTCTGTCTCTCATTCTCTCTCTCGCAAATAAATAAAATCTTAAAAAAAAAAAAAAGAAGGGTTTGGGGCTCTGTAGATCGAGGATTGACATGTTCCTGTCCCTCAGCATCCTTTACAGAAGTGTGCTGTGGTGCTAGGGACCGACTCTGCTGCAGGGAGTAGCCCATGAACCAAAAGAAGATAAACATCCTTCCTAAGCTATGGAATACAGCCTTGAGGCATCTAGTTTCCTTGGGCACATACTGTTTGCTCCATATCTACATCCTGAAGGCACAGCATTGAACAGTTCATACAGGCTTCCCTGGAGCTTAAATTTTAGTGGAGAAAGAGAGATAATAAATATAAACATACAAAATAAATTCATGTTAAGTGCGTAGATAAAAATAAAAGTGCTATTTGGTGATTTATTTTAGATGGGATTTCAGAGAAGCTATCATAAAAGCGCTAATATTCAGGCTGAGACTGAATGACAGGAAGGACCCAGCTGTGAGAAGATCTGAGGAAGAGCTTTCTAGGCGGAGAGAATGCCCAAGTGCAAAGTCCTGAAGACACAAACAAACATGCAGCACTCAGGGCAAGGGGAAAGGCCCATTAGCTGGTGTGCGGTGAAGAGATAGGCATATGCCTGGAGAAGTGGGTAGGGGGCAGGTCATTCAGGGCAGTGTTTTTCAGCCCTGACTTTTTACATTTTGGTGGACATCAGAGCTAGAGATTCTGACTTAGTGGGTCCCAGATGGGGTCTAAACATTAATAATTCTTTTTTTTTTTTTTAAGATTTTATTTATTTATTTCAGAGAGAGCATGCAAGCATGAGGCGGGGGTAGCGGGGGTGAGGGAAAAGCAGACTCCCTGCTGATCAGGGAGCCCGATGCAGGGCTCGATCCCGGAACTCTGGGATCATGAACTGAGCTGAAGGCAGACGCTTAACTGACAGCCACCCAGGCGCCCCAACGTTAATAATTCTTACAGCTCCATAGTGGAGTCTGATATGCAATTGGGGCTGTGAGTCACTGATATAGGGGTCTGGAGACCAAGGTAAGGAATTGGTTTTATCTTGGGTGTAATGGAAAGAAATGGAAGGTTTTAAGCAGAGGAGTTCTATCTGGTTTATATTTTGAACGAATCGCTTTGGCTGCTTTGTGGAGGACTGGTCCAGGTGGTAAGAACAGAAGCAGGGAGAACCAGTAGGCAGCTGTAACAGTGGGAGGGATGAGAGTGGCTTGGGTGAGGGTAGCAGTGGAGGAGACAGACAGTGGACAGATTCAGGACGTTGGGTGGAATTGATGGGTAGGAGTCACTGATGGGAATTAGGGAATGAGGAACAAAGAACAATGATCATTGTAAATTTACTGTATGATAACACACTTAGAACAATTGGTTATTTTCATAAGAACCCTAAGGGCGCCAGGGTGGCTTAGTCGGTTAAGTGGCTGCCTTCAGCTCAGGTCATGATCCCAGGGGCCTAGGATCGAGCCCCACGTTGGGCTGCTTTTCCCTGTCCTCTGCCTGCCACTCCCCCTGCTTGTGTTCTCTCTCTCTCTGCCAAATAAATAAATAAATAAAATCTTTAAAATAAACTTAAAAAAAAAAAAGAACCCTAACTCGCTCAAGATCATATAGTTTGGGAATACAAATAATAGAGTGGTATCATAACCCAGTTGGCTCCAGAGCATATGCTCTTACCCACCTTAGGTTTACTGACGGTTAGGCTTTTGGCTTGAAGAACCAGATGGATGGTGGTGGCATTTACTGAGATAGGGAATGTCTTGAGGAGTGGGAAGGAATGAGGACTTCTCTTTTGGCAGTATTAGGTTTGAGATGCCCGTGACACATTTAGGAGAGATGTTAAGTGGTCTCCGCAAATCAAAGATGAGAAGTATCTGGCAGTCACTGGTGCACAGATCATATTGTAAGTCATGAGACTGGAAGTCATTGCCTCAGGAGAGAAAGTAGAGAAGCAGGAGGAAGAGTCCAAGGATCATGCTCCAGGAGCAGGCAGGGCCAGCAAAGGAGGCTGAAAAGGAGTGGCCAGTGAGGTGGGAACAAGATGGGAAAGTATGTGGGGTCAGAGGACAAGGAGAAAAGGCATTGAAGGAGAGAGTTGTTGTTTGGGTTGCATGTTACTGAGAGGTCTAGAAAGATGAGGACAGAGTATGATTTGGCAACACAGACCTAGCCGGTGACCTTGCCCAGAGTTCTCTTGGCCCCATGCATGTGTGTCGGGGCGGGGGGGTGGGGGATAGAAATCTGAAAGGGGGCAGGTTGAAGAGTGAGTGGGAAGAGAGAACAGTGACCGACATCTCTGTCCAGGATCACAGGGAGGGACATTAGTCCACATCTGACAGAGAACCTTCCCCAGTATGTTTCACTTGTGTGTCTGCAGCCTCTCCCGGAGTTCTGTGGGATAATTTAGACTTAATATTTGCCATAAGATTAGCAGAAAAGGTAAATTAAAGTGTGTATCCATTATCTTACCTGGATAAATGGATAACATTTAAATTCTTGGGGTGCATTTAAACTCCTGGGATGCCTGGGTGGTACACGACTCGGTTTAGGCCCAGGTCATGCACCACCCAGGCACCCCAGGAGTTTAAATGTCCCTCTGCCCCTCCCTCCCCAAATAAATAAATTGTTAAAAAAAAAAAAAGTAGGGCGCCTGGGTGGCTCAGTTGGTTAAGCGACTGCCTTCGGCTCAGGTCATGATCTTGGAGTCCCGGGATCGAGTCCCGCATCGGGCTCCCTGCTCGGCAGGGAGTCTGCTTCTCCCTCTGACCCTCCCCCCTCTCATGTGCTCTCTCTCATTCTCTCTGTCTCAAATAAATAAATAAAATCTTAAAAAAAAAAAAAAAAGTAAATTCTCCATCTTAAACTCCAAAATCATATATAAAATGTGATTTTTCTTAAAGATTTCTTCTTGAAATTAGAATATACTGAAGATTTACTAGCTTTAAATATGGGAAGTAAATTTGTGACTTTGTTGAAAATGCTCTTATTCTGTCCTTACTTTTGAGGGCCAAGTTCAGAATAATTTTCCCACAGTTTTCTTATTAGTTTCAATTTTTAAAATTGTGGTAAAATTGGGGCACCTGGGGGGCTCAGTTGGTTAAGCATCTGCCTTCGGCTCAGGTCATGATCCCAGGGTCCTGGGATCCAGTCCCACATCGGGCTCCCTGCTTAGTGGGGAGTCTGCTTCTCCCTCTCCCTCTGCCCCTCCCCCTCACTCATGCATGCTCTCTCTCTCTCTCTCAAATAAATAAAATCTTTTTTAAAAACCCTTTTAAACAGGGCGCCTGGGTGGCTCAGTCGGTTAAGCGACCGCCTTCGGCTCAGGTCATGATCCTGGAGTCCCGGGATCGAGTCCCTCATCGGGCTCCCTGCTCGGCGGGGAGTCTGCTTCTCCCTCTGACCCTCCTCCCTCTCATGCTCTCTGTCTCTCATTCTCTCTCTCTCAAATAAATAAAATCTTTAAAAAAACAAAAACAAAAACAAACCCTTTTAAACAGATTCACATGGTGGCAGAGAAAACAGGCCAGCTTCCTGAAGTTAACCTATTAATCAGTCAAATCCTTCACTTATGAATATATAACCTAGCATTACTCAGTATTAAAAAAAAATTACAGCACCAGGATGAACAAACACTACAAACTAGAAGAAACTACTACGAACTACAATCCTGGAAGAAAAAAACGCCAACAGTGAACTAACAGACAAGCCCCTAATACGTATTCCCAGAGAAATTCAGATGTTGCGTCCGTTTGAAAAAGTTCAGCCTGCTTCAAAAAAGGAGCTAGAAATAAATGTTCTTGAAAATTAAATTGTTAAAAAAAAAATGAGAAAGGCTGGAAAGAAAGGTTGGGGAACTCTAAAAAGGTGAAGAACAAGAAGGGCAAGTTAGAGACAAAGATGATCCATCTTCCCAGCAAGAAAAGGAGAAATGGGGATGAAATATTATAAAAATAGAATTATGGAAGAAAAGGTCCCAGAGCTGGACAGACACCCGTTTTCTGACTGAAAGCTCATACCAAGGTTCTGACACAAATATTAAAAGACCTACCTCAGACACAACCTCAACACCTTTTAGAAAAACAAGTATAAATGGAAGATGAAAGCTTCCAGAAAGAAGAAAACAGACTTCTTACAAATGGATTTGGTGTTTCTTTGGAATACCGAAATATTAATTTGGAATTGAGTAGGCCCTAAGGTTTTCATCAATGGCATTTGATGTTACGAGACAAAGCACGAATGCCCTTAAAGTTCTGAGAGAAACGGAATATTATTCAGCCTTAAAAAGGAAATGCTGACACACTCTAACATGGGTGAGCCTGGAAGGTGTTACGCTGAGTGTAATAAGCCAGTCACGAGAGGACAAAGATTTCACTTATATGAGGTCCCCAGAATAGTCAAATTTACAGAGACAGAAAGCAGAATCGTGGGCGCCAGGGGCTAGGGCAGGAGGGCTGCGGTGAGTGTTTCATGGGGACAGAGTTTCGTTTGGGATGTTCTGGAGATGGACAGTGGTGATGGTCACACGGTAATGTGAATGGACTTCATGCCGCTAAACTGTATTAAACATAGCTAAAATGGGGCGCCTGGGTGGCTCAGTCGTTAAGCGTCTGCCTTCAGCTCAGGTCATGATCCCAGGGTCCTGGGATCGAGTCCCGCATCGGGCTCCCTGCTCAGCGGGAGGTCTGCTTCTCCCTCTCCCACTCCCCCTGCTTGTGTTCCCTCTCTCACTGTCTCTTTCTCTGTCAAATAAATAAATAAATAAATCTTAAAAAAAAAAAGATTTAAAAAAAATAGGTAAAATGGTAACTATTATGTTGTATTTATTTTACCACGACTTTTAAAAAATATTTTATTTATTTATTTGAGAGAGAGAGAACAGGAGCGCGGGGAGAGGGAGAAGCAGGCTCCCTGCTGAGCAAGGAGCCTGACATGGGGCTCGATCCCAGGACCCTGAGATCATGACCTGCGTCGAAGACAGATGCTTAACCGACTGAGCCACCCAGGCGCCCCCATATGAGTCTGTTTAGCCAAAAGATCTTTCCTTTACAGGAGAGAGCTGTCTCCATTGATGCTAGATCTAGGTGGGCTTCACTTTGAGGTGCTGTGGCAAGGAGCAAATAGGGAGTGCAGGGGCCACCCAGAGGCCAGGAGTAAGGCAGTGCTGTGTTGTCAACACCCACCCTGGGACCGCATGCCGTCTCCAGGGAGGCTGTTCCATTTCCTTAGAGGTGATGTCTTTGGTGTCAGCTTTGGGGTCAACACTGCTGCTTAGTCGCTCTGCCAGGTCTGCTGAGAGGACCATGGAGGGCCTGCTGTTCCAAAGACAGACCTTCAAACTGCAGTCTATAATCACTTTTATTCCTACTCCGTGTTTCTGCCAGCTTCGAGCTTGGAATTCTCTGGATTCCTCAACTATAGTCCCTCCTGTGCGTGGTCGCAGAGCTGCAGCTTCCTCATGCACCCTGGGCTCCAGCGCATGCCCGTCCTCTGTGTCTCACTGAGAAGCTCATTAAAAACTCTGGTCCTGGGCACCTGGGTGGCTCTTAAGCGTCTGCCTTCGGCTCAGGTCATGGTCCCAGGGTCCTGGGATCGAGTCCCACATCGGGCTCCCAGCTCGGCGGGAGGCCTGCTTCTCCCTCTCCCACCCCCCCGATTGTGTTCCTGCTCTCGCTATCTCTCTCTCTGTCAAATAAATAAATAAAACCTTTAAAAAAAAAAGAAAATATGCTATTGAGTATCTACATTTGTCCCCACCCTGGCTTTAGATGCTGAGCAAAGTGTAAAATGAATAATTATAGTTCTAGTCCCTAAGAACAAAATTTCTAGTTGGAGGCAAAAGAAATTCCACAAATGAAGCAATTGGAAAATAAAGCCAGTTACCTCATAGTCTTGTATAGACCTTTGTTTCTCAATGGGTATGTTAAGTTTATGAAGATGAGTATGTATTTTTTTTTTTAACATTTTATTTAAGAGAGTGAGAACAAGCAGGGGGAGCAGCATAGGGAGAGGGAGAAGCAGGCTCCCTATGAGCAAGGAGCCTGATATGGAACTCGATCCCAGGACCCTGGGATCATGACCTGAACCAAAGGCAGACACATAACTGACTGAGCCACCCAGATGCCCCGAGTATGAATTTTTTAATTTTGGGAAAAAGAGTGTGTGTGTGTAGTAGTTACCAAGAGTCTTTCTTGTTCTCTGATTTTTCTTTTTTCATAGCATCCTGTTTTATTTTATGGGTGGTGTTATAGCTCTTAAATCTTTGTGGGGATACTAATTAGGAGTTGGTGGTGGTATGGTTTTGTTTTTTAAATTATGTTGCCTAGGTATTTTTGTTCTTTACACATTTTCCTCCCTCATTTTATTTTATTTATTTTTTAAAATATTTTATTTATTTGTCAGAGAGAGAGAGCCCAAGCAGGGGGAGCAGTAGGCAGAGGGAGAAGCAGGCTTCCCGCTGAGCAAGGAGCCCAATGCAAGACTCGATCCCAGGACCCTGGGATCATGACCTGAGCCGAAGCAGACGTTTAACCAACTGAGCCACCCAGGCATCCCTCCTCCCTCATTTCAGTCTTTATTGTTCGTGTGGCAGTCTTTTCTAACTGGTCATTGAGACTTAGTGCTTAGCTCTTATTTAAGAGTTTAACTATAGAAAGCTGTCCAGTGATAGGAGGTTGAGCTAGCCTTACGATGATGAGCAGCTAAACACCAGAATGAGGAGAGTGTTATACTAGGTGATAGTGTCCATACTAGGTACCTGGGGAGGCAACTCTTGTATTTCTTTACAGAAGAACCTTCTAGTTTTTACCCAGGGGAAAGTACCTAGCTTTAGACAAAACTATGCTGGAGGGGTGAGGGATTCTGTTCTGCATATGACCATTCTCTACACGAAGCCTGAATTCCAACTAGGCCACCTTCAGAATTCTCCTCCGAAAGTACTCTCCAGTCTTCTGTGCTTACATGTTCTCCTGTTCCCATCAAGCCTGTCTGTCTTTTAGGACTAGCCAGAGCCCCACCTCTTCTAGACTCATCCCAGCCCCATTATAGCTTGGTATCCAAAATTTCTGGTCTATGTCTTTAATTTGAGTATAATTATGTGCTTATTTTGGGCAGAAACCATTTTTTTATAATCTTGATAATTGGATAAGCCTTGTACTTAGTGGATATTCAGAATATGTTGTATTATGTGAATTAAATACTGCTTGGCATTGGTGCCTATCTATGAGGAACTATTTACAAGTAATATCCTCCAACCTCCCAAAACTTGGAGCCCTAAAGTTTATTACCGTTCTCCCTGAAAACATCTTCAACTCCTGGAGGTTGGATCTGTGCCTTAAGTTTTTCCTCTGTCCTTCCAGCAACTCACAGTTTTTTGTGACAAGTAGGTACTCAGATAAACGGAATGACTGAATTGCAGCAGGAGGGACTAACCCCAGTATGATTATAATTTCAGGTGCCTGTGACATTTGATGATATCTCCATCTACTTTTCCACTCCAGAGTGGGAAAAATTAGAAGAATGGCAAAAGGAACTTTACAAGAATATCATGAAGGGCAACTACGAGTCTCTCATCTCCATGGGTGAGGCCACGCTGTCACCTTTTGAATGAGGTGACCGCAGCACTAAGGGGACTTTGTACAGGCCCTTGTCCTCCAGCAGTTCTCATTTTCACTCTGTCCTCACACACTTCACATTCTGATCGCAAACCAAAGATTTCCAGTTCGCCCTTGCTAAATGGAAAATCATAATCTCTCCTTCTGCCAATTTGCAGGACGGAGAATGCAGCTCAGAGTTCTGGCTGGGCGGGCAGGGTGGTTTCCATGGGCGTCCTTCACCTTGAAAGGGCCTTGTTCTCCACCTTGCGGCACACTGTCCCTGTCCCTCAGTGAAAGTAGCAGGCGAGCAGTGCTAACGAGGCATGTGTACCTTCCCACACGTTACCTCTCCTCTTACATGCTTTCCAAAGAGATAGCGTCCGTGCAGGAGGTGAATAGATGGGGCCGAGTGGTAGAGATTCTGAAATGAATCCTCTGGGACCATGGACCTCAAAGCCTATAGCTCAGCCTTAATGGCAGTTCGTTGTCATCCTCATTGATCTCTTGGTCATCCCCCCTTTCCCTTCTTCCTCTCCTAGATTATGCCATGAATCAACCTGATGTCTTATCTCAGATTCAGCCGGAAGGAGAACATAATACAGAGGAGCAGGCAGGACCAGAGGAAAGTGAGATTCCCACAGACCCCAGTGAAGGTAAGTAGCAGAAGAGATTATCCATTCCTTGTCTCCCTTGCCTGGTCAGAGACAGTGGCTCAGAACTGAGTAAGCAGGGCTTGGGGCTTCCAGAGCCTCTCCATGCTGAAGCAGCTAGGAGAGAGTACTTAGAGATTACTGGTCCTTTGCCTTCTTCCGTCAGTACCACGAATCTGAGGGCTGTTAATGGTATTCCATGACAAAGTTCTGAGACTTAATTATTTAACAAAATAAACATATCCTTAGATGGCAGGGGAAGCAATTATGCTCATATGAGGGGAAGTGGCTTCTTGAGTGTACACCTGATTGTTCAGAAATGGTGGGGGTGGGCTGGGAGTCCACACGGTCCCTCGGAGACGCACTGAACCAGCAGAGGATGTCCACCAGAGGATGGGCCAAGCGGATTTTGCCTGGTTTGGGAGCCAGCCAGCATTAATGAACTCTCCCTCATTTATTTGGTTGGTAGCTGCTTCATATTGTGCGGGAAAGACTGCTCACCCAAGTCCAGTTGTATTTTCTCTGAAGTCCCACTTCTGCTCTCAGAAAAAGCTCATCATTTTGTTCTTTGCTGGATAGAAAGCTCACAGAAAGTTCATCCTTCAGACATCTCTATTAGATGAACTTTTCTTACAACCTACCCCCTCTCCCATACACTGTTATTTTTTTTTAACATTTTATTATGAAAATTTCCAAACAGAAAAGTTGAAATAATTTTACAGTGAACACCCAGACACCTACTACCTGGATTCTACCACTAATATTTTACTCCGTTAGCACGTATTTATCCATCTCTGCATCCCTGTCAATCCATCCTCTTTTCATTGTATTTCCAAATCAATAAAGATTTTAATACATTTCCCCATTAATAGTTCAGTATGAATATCATTAACCTAGAGTTCACTATTTTTTTCTTTTGAGGTAAATTTTACATACAATGAACCTTTCAGATCTTAACATTCTCTGACTTTGGAGGAATGCATGTATCTGCCACATTTTTTTTTTAAGATTTTTTAAAATTTATTTATTTGAAAGAGCACAAGCAGGGAGAGCGGCAGAGGGAGAGGGAGAAGCACCCCCACACATATTATTTTTTAAGAATGTGTGGGTGAGGGGCGTCTCAGTCAGTTAAGTGTCTGCCTTCGGCTCAGGTCATGATCCCAGGTCCTGGGATTGAGCCCCACGTCGGGCTCCCTGCTCAGAGCGGAGTCTGCTTCTTCCTCTCCCTCTGCCTGCCACTCCCCTTGCTTATGCTCTCTTTCTCTGTCTAACGAATAAATAAAATTAAAAAAAAAAAAAGAATCTATGGGTGATTGTATTAAGCAATGTAACAGATTGAATTTGATTAACTTTATATCAGGGATATAAATAATAAATCTAAAATCATATCAAAAAGTTGGGTGACTTGATTACAGTAATTATTGGAAGTTACTCCTTAGGGGCACCTGCGTGGCTCAGTCAGTTAAGTGTCTGCCTTCGGCTCAGGTCATGATCTCAGGGTCCTGGGATCAAGTCCTGCATCAGGCTCGCTGCTCGGCAGGAAGCCTGCTTCTCCCTCTCCCACTCCCCCTGTTTATGTTCCCTCTCTCGCTGTCTCTCTCTCTCAAATAAATAAATCTTTAAAAAAAAAAAAAGGAGGGGCGCCTGGGTGGCTCAGTCAGTTAAGCGGCTGCCTTCGGCTCAGGTCATGATCTTGGAGTCCCGGGATCGAGTCCTGCATCAGGCTCCCTGCTCAGCGGAGAGTCTGCTTCTCCCTCTGACCCTCCCCCCTCTTGTGCTCTCTCTCTCTCACTTTCTCTCTCTCAAATAAATAAAATCTTTAAAAAAAAAAAAAAAAGGAAATTACTCCTTAGTTTACATTATTAGTTATCTGACATAGTTTTCAGCTAGTATAAATCAGTGTGTCATTTTATTTTTGGGGACAAATGGCAGAGATGTAAGTAACTTGGTTTTGTAATAGTATATGAAAGTTTCATTTCGCTGCCATCTTGTCAGTTCATTTTTACCATGGTTTTTAAGACTCCATTTGTGGGTGGTCAACCAAATATGTTAATACATGTTTACATAAAATTAAAACAAGCAGGGGCACCTGGGTGGCTTGTCGTTAAGCGTCTGCCTTCCACTCAGGTCATGATCCTGGGGTCCTGGGATCCAGTCCCGCATTGGGCTCCGTGCTCAGCAGGAGGCCTGCTTCTCCCTCTCCCACTCCCCCTGCTTGTGTTCCCTCTCTCACATTCTCTCTGTCAAATAAATAAAATCTTTAAAAATAAATAAAAATAAAGATTTTATTTATTTGAGAGAGAGTGAGCAGGGGGAGGAGCAGAGGGAGAGGGACAAGCAGACTTTGTTCTGAGAAAGAAGCCCAGTGCAGGGCTCAATCCCATGACTCCAAGATCACCACCTGAGCCAAAATCAAGAGTCAGATGCTTAACTGACTGAGCCACCCAGGCAACCCTTTTTTTTTTTTTTTTTAAAGATTTATTTATTTGAGGGGCGCCTGGGTGGCTCAGTCGTTAAGCGTCTGCCTTCAGCTCAGGTCATGATCCCAGGGTCCTGGGATCGAGCCCCGCATCGGGCTCCCTGCTCCGCGGGAAGCCTCCTTCTCCCTCTCCCACTCCCCCTGCTTGTGTTCCCTCTCTCGCTGTGTCTCTCTCTGTCAAATAAATAAATAAAATCTTTAAAAAAAAAAAAAGATTTATTTATTTGAGAGCGAGAGAGCGCGTGTGTGAGTGCGGGGGCAGGGGTAGAGGGAGAGGGAGAGAATCTCAAGCAGACTCCCCACTGAGCGTGGAGCCTGACAAGGGCTCCATCTCATGACCCTGAAATCACGACCTGAGCTGAAATCAAGAGTCAGACACTTAACAGATTGTGCTACCCAGGTGCCTCAGTACTGGTTTTCTTTAAAAATATGCTCCAGGGGCACCTGGGTGGCTCAGTCGGTTGTGTCTGACTTTGGCTTAGGTTATGATCTCGGGATCCTGGGATCAAGCCCCAAGCTGGGCTCTGTGCTCAGCAGGAAACCTGCTTCCCCCTCTCTCTGCCCCTCCCCCCGTCATGCTCCTTCTCTCTCTCTCTCAAATAAATAAATCTTCAAAAAAAAAAAAAAATATATATATATATACATGCTCTAGGCTGTGTTGGTCCCCAGCGCAACCCCCAGGTTCGGTCCCTTACTAGGAGGACACACAGGATTCAGCATAAAGTCATGTTTAGGGTTAAGGTTTATTACAGCAAAAGGACACAGAGCAAACCAGCAGAGATAAAAAGCGCACAGGGCAAAGTCTGGAGGGGACCGGGGGCAACCTTCCAGAGTCCTCTTGCAGTAGAGTCTCACAGGACACATGCTATTCCTCCAGCAGTGAGTTGTGACAACATGTGCAGAGTGTTGTCTCCCAGAGAAACTCATTAGAGAATCAGCATCCAGGGCTTTCACTGTGAGCTGGTCACGTAGGCATCCTTTGCCTCACACATACCAAAATTCTAGACTCCCGGAAAGAAGACAAATGTTCAGCATCAACTACACTACACAAACAATTTAGGCCTGGTGAAGCACTCCTCTAACATTGAGGGGAAGTTTTCTATCAGCATAGGGATGTAAACCTTGCAGGCAGGCCCTTCTGAGAATAGGCAGCCAGATTTTCTTTCTCCTAACACACGAAAAATCCTGATTCCTTTCAGTGGAGAATAGTAATAAACTGTCTGCTTATTAGGGTTCATAACAGATTTTTTTTTTTTAAGATTTTATTTATTTATTTGAGACAGAGAGCACGAGCAGGGGGAGGAGCAGAGAGAGAGGGAGAAGCAGGCTCCCTGCTGAGCAGAGAGTCCGATGCAGTACTCGATCCCGGGACCCTGAGATCATGACCCGAGCCAAAGGCAGACGCTTCACCGACTGAGCCACCCAGGCGCCCTGGGCTCATAACAGATTGTTCCACACAAATATGAGGCAGAGGTACTAATTCTAGGCCACTTTAGTGATGTAACTAATAAAATGTCTTTTTGATAGATTGTTCTTCATTTACAGTTTTTGGGTTTTTTTTTAATAATTTCTAGGGGCGCTTGGGTGGCTCAGTCATTAAGCATCTGCCTTCGGCTCAGGTCATGATCCCAAGGTCCTGGGATTGAGCCCCGCGTCGGGCTCCCTGCTCAGCAGGAAGCCTGCTTCTCCCTCTCCCACTCCCCCTGCTTGTGTTCCCTCTCTCTCTGTCAAATAGATAAATAGAATCTTAAAAAATAATAATAATAGGAAAGAAAAAAGGCAAGACACAAAATTTAAAAAAAAAGTAGTTTCTATACCAAAGAATCAAAATTTTTTTTTTTTTTTTTTGCTTTTCAGCAAGCAGCTTCTCTAAAACATCGTAGTTTTAAAAATCAGTTTTCACATACTGTGTAATTTTTTGTTAGACTGGTGTGTTTATGTTGGAATATTGATATAATTTTAGAAAACTTAATTTTCTAAAATATATTTGGATTTTATCCATATTTCTTATAACATAAAGCCCATAACTTATTATCATATTTCATTCTGGAGCTTTAGAAGACCTGTGCATTATAATTAAATATATAGGTAGAATGGGTAGAATGGATTTGAGGATAGTAATGGTACCATGTGACACCCCTTTCCTTTTATGTCCAAATATCTTGGAATTAATTTTACATTCTATCTCTATCCCCATCATCTGAATCCGATGAAGGGAAAGAAAAATTATTATATCTCCCTAGGGAATAGTCATTGATGCCTACTGTCTTAGATAAAATTGCATACAATTAGTGGAGAATAGTAGTGAATGGGAGAACACAGAAAAACATAATCTTGAGATTTTCTGGAATTCTTTAACTGTATCACCAGGGCCTCATGCAGACCAGCTGTGTGTGGGGCCACTATTTGGTCACTTATAGTTTGAATATTGAACTACCAAGTTTTTAGAATTCTTTGGAGAAAAACTTGACCCAGGAAGTTCAAATGGAATAATTACTGAAAGTCCATTATCTTTGTCTTTCTTCTGGTTCAGAAGCCATGAACTCACGCCAAGATTGTAGAATGACCCGGAAGTAAAGCAAATTCATTTCTAAATCTTAGAGTTGTGGGGAGACTTCGGGGTCATTGTTTCATGTGCATTTCCATGATCCCCTATCTGCGTCTGTTTACTCTGGTCCAGCAAGGCCATCTTTTCCTAAACAAAGCCAGTGATTAAGGCATATCCCAATATGATAATCCTTTTATTTTAGTTTATCCTATTTGAGAACAAGAATCATCCTAGGGATGACAAAACTTTGAGGTTTTAACTTACTACACAAATACTTACCACATTCACCTGGCAATGTTTTAGTCCCACACCTGTTTAACAGAAAATTTCAAAAGAAAGTTTTTATATTTTTACCACTGGTTGTTTCATGTGTTAAGTATTGTTTGTTGTCTGCTTAAAAAGTCCAATCTCAGCACCATTTTAGCTCGGTTTATACCTTTGTACATACCCCAGAACCTCAAGGTTCCAGCTTCTTTTCAGACAGCATGGGTCCTTACCTGTTTAAAACATACACAGACACACAAAATGATTTTCACACAAAATCAGATTTCCTCATAGTTAAAATGACATTCAGGGGCGCCTGGGTGGCTTAGTCGTTAAGCGTCTGCCTTCGGCTCAGGTCATGATCCCAGGGTCCTGGGATCGAGTCCCGCATCGGGCTCCCTGCTCAGCGGGAAGCCTGCTTCTCCCTCTCCCCTCCCCCTGCTTGTGTTCCCTCTCTCACTCTCTCTCTGTCAAATAAATAAATAAAATCTTTAAAAATAATAATAATAAAATAAAATAAAATGACATTCAACCAGTGTAGACATTAAATTTTTATATTTTATTGTGATCAGCTTTTCTATTTTTTTTTTTTTTTAAGATTTTTATTTATTTTAGAGAGAAAGCTCGAGCAGGGGAAGGGGCAGAGGGAGAAAATCTCAAGCAGACTCCCTGCTGAGTGCAGAGCCCTACGCAAGGCTTGATCTCATGACCCTGAGGTCATGACCTGAGCCAAAATCAAGAGTCAGCCGCCTAACTGACTGAACCACCCAGGCGCCCCTCAGCTTTTCTATTTTTAACTTCCTCTCAAATCTAGAACCTCAGCATTTTTCCATTTCCTCCTATCTGATAAGTATTCAGTTTTTCTCTGTTCTCTGGCTTTCTCCAAAGCCTGCTGCTGGTAGGAACCCATGATTTTACTTTCGTTCTATGTTTCTGTAAGTATCCACTGTTGGGGTTCCTTAGGCCTGTGAGGGATGTGCTTTGAAAGCTCTTGTGGCCGCCTGACCAGCAGTTGCCATATTCTGTCCCCATGCAGGTGTCTATCAGGCCATCACAGTGTTCAAGTTCTCCTGCTCCTTTCATTTCACTTGCAAAAGGTCCTCAGGCTATACTCCCACCACTCCCACCAAAGTACAGTAGACACTACAGTATGCTGTGCATCCTATGATGTGCCAAGCCCCAATTATTTAATCAAATCAGTATTACCTTAGCTGTACTGATCTAGTGAGATGACCAGAGGAACTTTTAGCATCATTATTCAACAGGAAGGGTTCGCTTCCTGGGATTTCCCAAGCTCAGTGAAGATGTGCTTAGCCAGTGGGTTCTAATAACAACAGCCATTTACATTTCTGGAGAACTGGGTTGTTTTTTTTACCACTCCAAAGCTTTTATGGTTGGCTGCTGACTAATGTAACAAAAGATTGGAAAGAATCCAAATACCCATCAATAGGGCACTCTTGAATAAACAATGATACCACTACATAGTACAGCTATAAAAAGGAAGGAGAAAGATCTCTATACTGCTATACACATGCCCAGAATATATTGTCAAGAAACTGGGATACAGAATAGTTTGATTAGTATGCCATATAAAGAGGAAAAACATGAAGATGTATATATATTTGCTTCTATTTTTACAAAGAAACAATGGAAAATTGAAACAAAAACCAGTAAGAATGGCTACCTATACAAGGAGACATAGATGTGAGATGGAAACTAGTCCTCTCTGAATGTATCTTATTTTATAGTTTTGATTTCGGAACCTTATAAATATTTTACAAAATTTAAAAAACAAAAATTTTTAAAAATCAGGCACAGGCTGAAATAATTACTGTATGATATATATGTAACATAAATACATAGAATAGATTTCTTCCAACTGACTAAAACAATATTTTAACTATATATCCCTAGAGGGATAGATCCTGAAGACTAAAAGTATCACAAAAGAATCTTAAATTGAGTTCATATTTTTGTTTATAATATTGGTATTACTTTGACACAAGTATTCAGATAAAGCAAAGATTATGTTAATGTCATCAGGAACCAAAATTTTCAGGGTTAGGGAGAAAAGATACAAGTATAAAATCAAAGGACTTAATTAAAACCCTGTAATCTTAAATATGAATCATAAATATTAATATAAACTCATGACACTTTTTTTTTTTTAAAGATTTTATTTATTTATTTGACAGAGAGAGAGCGAGAGCAGGAACACAAGCAGGGGGAGTGGGAGAGGGAGAAGCAGTCTTCCCGCAGACAGGAAGCCGATGTGGGACTCGATCCCAGGACCCTGGGATCATGACCTGAGCCAAAGGCAGATGCTTAACGACTGAGCCACCCAGGCGCCCGACACTTTTTCTAAAAGATATGTATTTTAATAGCTCTGTCCATGGAAAGGAGCTAGAAGCAACAACAGCCTATGAGCAGTTAGCATCCTTATCATCCAGATTGCATTCTCTAAATTCCATTTCTCAGATCAGTGATTGTGTGCATGGAGCAGGAAATGTACAGGATGAACCTGGGATAGTCTGTCACCCCAGAAATGAAGGAAACTACATGTTTGATGATGTGAAAAGACAGAGCTGCTCTGAAGAGGCTCCTGCTGGCCAAAGAAGGGACAATTTGAGCAATGGACTAAAACTCTGATATCAGATAGATAACATTCTATGAGTTCATAATGCTAAACCAAAAAAAAATAAAAAATAAAAAAAGTCATTTGAATGCCATTTGGAGGTTTCTAGAGCACTAACTCATTCAGAAAATTAATGAAGAGACTCAATTATGCATTTTAAAAGTCTCATAGTTTTAATGAATAGAAAGTTCCTCCTCTGGATATCTGCGAGAAGACCCTCTTCCTCAAACCCAGTCTGTCCCCTCCTGCTTTTCTCTTTATATATGTGTGAGTATAAAATCTGGGAGAAAAGAAAGAAAAGGCTGGACTATGTTTAATACATTTCATCCTGTAGTTTAAAGTCAGGAGTTGGTAAGGCAACCTGCCGCATGTGCCCAAACCTGTGTCTCCCCAGTCTCACCGTACAACCTGCCAGTCTTTCGGGCCTCAGTCTTGTCAAACCTCATATTTCTGCTTTGGGCACACCTTTAGATTTCAGTGGTCTCTAACTGATTTAAAAGGCATTGGGCAAAAACAGTGAGTTCTGCCTATCTGCTACACATAAAACCAGAACCTGCGTACAATTTGAATTTACTCTCCACACCTTCTCAGCTTACCAGCTTGTCCTCTTAGGTCAAAAAAAGGCTACCTAGGCCTTGGCTGGGATAGCTCACACAGCTGTTTCTGCACTGACCAAATGAGCCATGTTATGTGCAAAGCCTTGAGAGGCTGTTCTTTTTTCTTTCCAAAAGAACCACCCCCCCCCACCCCCGCCACCAGGCCTGAGGGACTCACAAAGACTGCTATCCCCTCTCCTGGGGGTTCAGGAAACAATGAGCTATATCATTTAATAGGCAGAAGTAATATGATCTTTTAGAGTCCAGAATTGGGAACCTGAAAAGTGTGTTTCTAAGGAGTCAGATCTGTGTTTAAAAGGACCTGACTTTGTAATTCTGGGAATGTCTTTGTTTTTTAATTAACATCTAAGAAAAACTTTTTTGGTCAATCTTGGTTTCTTCTGCTTTTTTCCTGCTATATTTTAAAGCAGACCTTTGATAATATGGCGTTTCATCATAAATACTTCCTTACTGGCAATGTATTTAACCTCTGAAATGGAGAAAATAATCCCTCTCTACTGAAATGGAGAAAAGAGTCCCTGCTTCATTATTTCATAAACAAAGCTGTGAGAGAAAGTAAAAACATTCTGGAAGTGAGAGTGCTAACAAAATGAAAGGCACCACTAATTCTAGATGCATGTCAGGGCATCCTCTCCAAAATAAAAACTGATTTGTTTTAAAATGAAAACAGTCACTGAAGTTGAGTATATCATGTAAAAATACATTAAATCTGGCTTCATTTTGAACTGGTTCTCAGATGTATGCCTTTTTTTAAAGGCTGGTTCAGTTTTGGTTTTGTAATCAGAGATAAATATTTGGGCAAGACAGTGTTCAACAAGCCAACGAGATCATTTTCGGAGTCGAGCCCTGAAGGCCATTCTCTTTTTCCCCCAAATAGAGCCTGGCATTTCAACATCAGATATTCTGTCTTGGATCAAACAAGAGGAAGAGCCCCAGGTTGGGGCCCCACAGGAGACCAAGGAGAGCGACATGCACAAGGGCGCCTATGCTGGTGAGTGAGGAATCAGAGATGCCCACACCCAGCCTCTGCTTAGGCCAGGACCAACAGAGGAAGCCGAGGACAGGAGGGGGTTATGGAGGCAAGGAAGTGGAAGAAGAATGGGGAAAGGGGGGAAAAGACAGGCTCACATAAGTTAGAGATGAAAATGAAATCAAACTAAGATATATTTTAAGTGAGAAAACACTCTCTTTTAAGTATAAAGACAAAGTAGATTTGTTAGAGGACGAGAAACAAGTGCACACAGAGGGACTAAAGGTATGAGAATGGGGAAAGACAGAAGAACATTTGAGGATCATTTAGAAAAGGATAGAACAAAAATGGGAGGAGACTAGCCATAGTGACAAGAGTGTCCTTGGAGAGGCACAAATGTCGACCAAGAGCTCTCCCTCAGGACAGTGATGGCAGAAGAAGCAAACAGCTTCTTTCCAAGGTCCTTAGCACCATCTATATTTTGCCATCTGAATTGTAGAAGAGAACATCAAGGCCAGAAGGAAGCCAGTCATTTATATTATTTAATGCAACCTATTTTTAAGTATCTTCTATTCCCTATGTTCTTTTAGACTCTAGGAAACAGAAATAAAAAATAGCCGTTTCTGCTCCTTGGGATATTTATATCGGGCACACACACATCAGTACTGGGCGTGCCTACTGTTAAGTCTCCAGGGTGAGTGGGACGGATGACTTCTATAAAAGAAATGAGGAGTTTGGAGAACATACGTCAGTTTTAGTTTGGGTGTCTAGATAAGGCCCACAGCAGGCTGTGAAGCCAGAATTGGGCCCTGCAAGATTGGTGTGACAAGGTTGGGCATACTTTGGGAAGATGGGAAGAAAGGGATGCAGGCTACAAAAGGGAGGGCAGACTGAGCAGAGAGCAGAGGCAGAAACACGGACTCGATTTTCAGGGAAAGTACGGAGAGCTAACAGGAAGGATTTATCTGGCAGACTGAAGGGGAGTAGGAGTGGGTGAATGCGTAATTTTAGGCCTTGTCACAAAAGGCAACAGAATCAAAGTCCTGGAGCAGAGGAGAAACCGAATGAAAGGAGAGCTGGCAAAGGTGGATGCCGGGGTTTCTCCCTTTCCGAGCAGGGAGCATTGGAGAGGTGCAGCGGCGAGCCCTCTGATGATTTGCTGCAGGGACTGTACATGCCTTGATGATTATCTCAGACCTCCACTGAGCTTCCTATCTGAGCCAGTTAAGAGCTCCGTGCAGTCTGCTGGAGCTGGGTAGGATTACGGCAGTTGCCACGAGACAGCTGTTGACAGGCGTGACTCTGAGTCCTTTCTTTCAGATGAAGAGCTTGTCATCAAAGCCGAAAGCCTCGCCAGAGCCTCTCTGTGCCCAGAGGTTCCAGTCACCTTCTCTTCTCCGCCACCAGCGGCAAAGGATACTTTTCCAGAGGTGGCTTTTAAAAGCCAGCCGTCCGCATCCATGGCGCCTTTTGGACGTCCAGCCACTGACCTGGCCGAAGCCTCTGAGGGCCAGGTGACTTTTACTCAGTTGGGTAGCTACCCCCTGCCACCTCCAGCCGGGGAGCAGATATTCTCCTGCCACCACTGTGGCAAGAGCCTCAGCCAGGACATGTTGCTGACCCACCAGTGTGGCCACACGGCTGAGCCCCCCTTGTCCTGTGCCCAGTGCCCGAAGCACTTTCCCCAGCAGGCGGATCTCAGCGGCAGCTCCCAGCCCCATGCTAGCGAGACACCCCCCACCTGCCCACACTGCGCCAGAACTTTCACGCACCCGTCAAGACTCACCTACCACCTCCGGGTCCACAACAGCACCGAGCGCCCCTTCCCCTGCCCCGACTGCCCCAAGCGCTTCGCCGACCAGGCCCGACTCACCAGCCACCGGCGGGCTCACGCGAGCGAGAGGCCCTTCCGCTGCGCGCAGTGCGGCCGCAGCTTCAGCCTGAAAATCAGCCTCCTGCTCCACCAGCGGGGGCACGCGCAGGAGCGGCCTTTCTCCTGCCCCCAGTGCGGCATTGACTTCAATGGCCACTCGGCCCTGATTCGCCACCAGATGATCCACACGGGCGAGCGTCCGTACCCGTGCACTGACTGCAGTAAGAGCTTCATGCGCAAGGAGCACCTGCTCAACCACCGGCGGCTGCACACGGGCGAGCGGCCGTTCAGCTGCGCGCACTGCGGCAAGAGCTTCATCCGCAAGCACCACCTCATGAAGCACCAGCGCATCCACACGGGCGAGCGGCCCTACCCCTGCGCCTACTGCGGCCGAAGCTTCCGCTACAAGCAGACGCTCAAGGACCACCTGCGGTCGGGCCACAGCGGAGGCTGCGGCGGCGACGGTGACCCATCCGGACAGCCGCCTGACCCCCCGGGGCCCCTCCTCCCTGGGCTCGAGACCTCTGGCCTAGCCGTTAACACCGAAGGGCTAGAGGCCGGTCAGTGGTATGGGGAAGGGAGCGGAGGGGGGGTTTTGTAAACCTCGCTCCTTTCACGGGTATCTATGTTCTCCGGTTACCTGTGCCCGCGAGTCCCTGCACCCCCCCTGCGGTAATCGCTATGTGGCCCGGCGATGAATTTGGGATCTTAGACACTTGACTAGAGACATTGCTGGAATTTTGGAACTTCATAACATCACAAGAACACGACATTTTGAAACCCAGAAAGACCTGGAAGGAAGCCCAGCATCCCGATCTTTACAAAAGTATTACCTGAGCAGAAGTTATATAAGAAGGTTGCAGAGAGCTTGGAAAGCAAGATTTGGCCCCTGTTACTCCATCACAGGGTGATAAGTTGATAATGATTGTGGCTCTAGGTGGGGACAGGTGCATGGGAAGAGCCTCCAGAACTCGAAGCCCATCACCAGGCATGAGGATATTTAATTGAACCTCATTAATTCCCTGATGGTAAGATGGTTGTTAGAAGAGAGTGCTGGAGCCTCGGGCCATGGTACTGCTTCTCCCTGGCACGAGCTAAGGTCTGCCCCTCTGCTCATGCACTGCCTCTCCCGGAATGGTAACTCAAGACTGCCTTCCTAGGTTTCCTGGATTAATTCTTCTAATCCATTTTGGTTAATATTGGGGGAGCAAGAAGTTTGACTTTAAAAGCTTCTTAAGGAGAACAGTTCTTTGCATAGTTTGATTTGCAGAATTCAGGCTCTTACTGGCATTTAAACCGCTAGGAACGTTTGCCGAAGTCCTGGTTAAAAAAGTGGGAGCAGTGTTCTCAGCACTAGCTTTAAAATCTAGAGAGCCCAGAGAAATTTCAGAACAGCCTAAGATTTGTGCCTGAACCACGTTTCTTAGAAGGAGTCATTTACATCAGATTTTTCCGTATTTCCAAGCTAATAAGCTGATTTTTCCGTTCCTGGTGTCTTGTATTCTTGACAGTCCTCAGCAGAATAGATCACAGCACTTTCCGGAAGCGTTATGGAGCTTCAGAAAGTGCCAGTGGGTCTCAGGTTTCATTTCCTCAGTTGTGAGATGATGGTGCTGTAATGCAGCTTTCTTGAGCCATCAGAGTGTATGTTCACCCCTTCTGACTCTCCCCAGTGGCAATGGGCAGATTGAGGAACTCTGTAGATCCCTGAGCGCTGAGCACCACATACAGACAAGGACAGCCTCTTGCTGCTTGTTCTGCTTTTAGGGACCTTGGCTACCATGTGTTCTTTTGTCGGGGACATTCGGTCAGAGGAGAGTATCTGAGCGTGGTCCTACTCCTCAGTGGCTTTGCAGTTAGACATAACTCCCTTTCCCTTTAGAAATTGCAAATTTTCATCTGCAAAATGAGACTGGTAAAAGGAAAAAAGTGAGCCTCTGGAAGTTAAAAAAAAAAAATCATAAAACTTGTGACACATTTCTTCTGCCAGAATTCTCTATCTCTGGCTTCTATCCAGGCAAAGCCACATAAGACCCCTAAATCAGAGCAGAGACATTTCTTGTTGAAACTTGACGGAACTCGATTTGTGTTACTCTTGCTGGGAGCCTGAGGTGGGAAACAAAGACAGCCCTAAGTCTTGGGCAGTAAAGCTGTTTATTCCTATACTCTGTTTCCCCTGAATCTTTCCAAGATGCCTGGAAACAAGGTCTGCAAGTACTTAGAACACTTTCTTGATGAAATGATAACAGAGAGACCCATTTTTTCCTTATCACCTAGCCCAACCTTCACCCAGCCTAGCTCTGCCTAAACACACTAGGAAAGTGTTACCCCAGCTAGCTTTGCTCCTGGGAAGGTTCTGTCTGAACATGCTCTTTAGAATGATTGCATTTATGAAACATCTGCTCTGTGACATTCACAATACCAGGGGTCATGGGAGACTTAAGAAATGGGTGTGAGACCTAGTCTGCTGCTGTAATTTATAGTCTGAAGGCGATGAAAAAATCCCAATATAGAACAAACCAAGACAACTGACGAACAGAACCCTGGCCTGTTGTTATTAAGAGCTTTCTAGCTAGAATCTGGACCCGTACCACGCGTAAACGTGGAGGTTCTGGGGCTCCCAAAGCCAGGGTTCCAGCTTCACTGCTGACCCACTAGGAACTTGGTGTGAGACCCAGCTCTGGTTTGCACCTTGGTCTCCTAATTAAGAGGGAGAAGAATCAAAGTATTATCTTTAGGTGGTGAGCTCCCTTTTCTGGAGGCATTTAAGCATTTGCCAGAGTGTGCTTGAAAGGGATTCCTACATGAGTTGTGATGTTGGTCTAGATAACATCAGAAATTCTTTTTCTGTAAGTCAAAGATTTAATGAGGACACAGAGCTTATTAATGAAAGAGACCTGTGGGTTAAAATGCTGCAGATAGAGCCCACAGTCCTTTCTGCAAGGAACTGTAGCCAGCAGGGACCCAAACTTTGTCAGGCTGTGAACACGGTTCAAATACCAATGAGGCCAGAGCCACGAAGCTCAGTGAAAGGGAATGGGCAGGACCATGCCAGAAAGATGCAAGTAGGTGTTCTCCTAATCCTCAGCTCCATACACACCAGGGGGTTTCAGCTGTGCATTCTGGTCTCCTTTCCCGGCACCCATCCTCTACCAGGTAAAACTCCAGGCCAGCTCTAGAGTTTGTTTGCTTAAGATTCAAGGGTGGATACATAAAATGCGCTCAGTGGAAAAGTTAAGTCGAACCGCGAAGGTTTCAGTGTGTGGAGAAACCTGGTCCATTGAAGGCTCCTGAGAGAAACCATGCATTTAACTGCAGTTGAAGTACCTGAGGATTGGTTGTCAGGACAAGGCAGGAAAGAGGAGAACCCAGGAATGTGCCCTTCATCAGTCTGCCCCCTGGGCTAAGAAGTCTGTCACACACAAATAGGCCTATCTCCTCGGAGTAGACCCAGATGTGGACTGTAACCAGATTCACTCTTTGCTTACTAAGTTTTTCATTGTCACCGTTAGATGAGCCTCTGTTTCAGCCACAGATGTGAAAATAAATGAAGTTGATTGCTTATCTAGAAAGTGAAAGGTCTCTGATCCTTTTTGCTGGATATTCGATATTGGAAACACCATAGCTGGGCTCTGGCTAGAGCAGTGCTTTACGTAACTTTCTCATCATTAATAATAAGGACTGCAAAGTTCCGGTGGGGGAGATTCTGCGGGGCTTCTTTTTGGAGCATTTTGGAGAGACTTGGGTGACCATGCCTATCCCAACCAGGATCAGACCCTACGGCTTATTGGGGAATAACAAATGTTCACTGTCTCAGTTCCTTTATCCATTCCAAATGGGATGGAACACCCGGTTCCTGCTCACGGTTTTCTCTGAGGAGAGTCAGAATACCCCAGTCCTTCTCCCCACCTATCACCCCATATCGCAGCTTCCTAGACAACAAAGAGCTGTCTGAGGGCTGCTCAGCAATGAGTAAAAGCCAGTCTTTCCCCAAATGGCTTACAGATGAGGAACTCTTTGTCATCAGATTTGTTTTTTCTATGTGTTTGGTGGACGCCTCGACCCTGTTCTGTTCACTCTACAAAGGAAGCACTCACTTCTCACAGGGCCTATATACAAGACAGTCTTAGACTAGGGAAGTGTCAGACTCTTAGCAGCAAAAGGACCTCAAGTGAGGTCAAACTGGTAGGCACTGGAGGAGGAGGAGGATTGGGGAATGCAAAGAACCTGAACTTAAGGACACATGTGGGTGAGTACAGCGTCATGGGCCTAGACTCTGAGTCAGACCTGTATTCAGGTCCTGGCATCATCAGATGTAACATATGTTACTTAACCATCAGGAGCCTAGTTTACTTATCTGTGAAGTAGTGAGAACAAGATCTGTGTCTCAGCGGGAAAGGAAGCCAGTGTGAAGTCCTTAGCGCAGAGCCGGACACAGAAGGCGTCACAACGACAGCTATCACCAAAGGTGTCCGGGCCTGACCAGAGAGACGGTCACATCCGGGCTACTCTATGGAAGCGCATGATTGCTGGATGTCTCAGCTTTTTGCCTGCCATCTTTTGTTTCCGTTTAACCTGTTCTTGTATCCTATCTTTTCTGTACTTCCTGGCTCCCACAAGTTTCTATGTACCATGACACCATGTGGCTCTGAGTCTTTTGTTGCTCTTCAGATTCTGAAGCAGGGGGTCTGGCCCAGCTCCTCTTCCTATACCAGGTCACACAAGTTTCCAGCCAACCCTTGGATTGGCTGCCCTCGGGTTACAGGCTCATCTTGGGTCAGCTGTAGTCAGGAGGAAAGGGCCTGTGTTCCTGTGGGCCCAGTAGATTCACTTGGGAATGGCAAATGGTAGCCCAGATTGCACTTCTGGTACAGTAGGATAGGCGAAAATCTGTTTCCCCACCTGTGACAGGGTTCCTTCAAAGACTTCTATCTACTTCATTAGGACTATCATAGACCAGAGCTTATTGTCCTTAGCATAAAGGACCTGGAAGGTACTATTTATGTATCTTGCAAAAGGAGCAATCTCTCACTTTCTAGGGTGTTACTCCTCCCTTTATGACCCTTCTCTAGTTTCTTTTTAAACGTGTAACTCTGGCCATGATCACATCCACATCCACAATGACTTTTGTCAACTTGGTCAAGTTGCCTCTTCAAAACAAGAAAGTATTTCACCCCTAGGACCAGTCAACCACTGAAGAAGGCAGATCGATACAGCCCAGTCAGAGAAGCCTCAAAAGCAGTGTGCTGCCACGCTCTCAAACATTGCCAGGTACATTTAAAATATTTGATAAAAATCTCATTGAGCTCTGTGGCTTTGTGTTTGTTTATCAGCAAAGCCAGTATTCATTGTAAAATCTTGAGACCGGTCCAAAAAAGAGGCCAAGAACAGAGGCCATGTCTTGTTTTGTATCCTTCATGGGCCCAGTGCTGGAGGGACGTGGGTGCTCAGTGCATGATCGCATAGTGGGAAGACCACCGGAGTAGGGGTGTAGAACTGGATTCCGGTCCTAGCCGAACACTGTCTACCTACTTGATATGGAGCGAGGCACTGAATTTGTGTAGATCTCATTTTCCTAATTCCGATAGAACATGATGGTAATATCCAATCCCTTCCAGCTCTAAAATCCTGGAATTTAAGAATTTATGTCTGGGTCCTGTTTTCCTTGTCTGGTTTCTCCCCACATTCTGCCCTATTGAGAGATTGCTTTGACACAGCAGAATAAACACCTTGGAGAGGTATGCATTTTTAGAATCTCATTCTAACCATATTATCATTACTCCAAAGCCACACGAACTGACAGAGTTTTAGCAAAACTATAAAATGTTTTAAATATGCACTATGCATTTCATTGCATTTTTTTAAAGCATAGGAAAATAAAAAGACCTACCAAAATAATAATGATGGTTCTAGGGTACTGGGGTCATTCAGTGGTTATTTTCCCCTTGTGTTTATAATGTAAAATATTTATATACAGCATTTATAATATTTTATAAGAATAAGGATTATTGGAATGGAAAAGTTCTTGGAAAGGACTCAGGAGGCCAGAGTTTTTTTATCTTGCTTCGATTTTCTCATTCCTAGCATGAGGATAATACCTACTTATCAACTTTACATAGGTGTTGGGACGCTCAAATGAGGATAGGTCTTCAGAAGTGCTTTGAAACGTATCGCAGGCCTGTGAAAGTGTTGACATAGTCAATGCAGAATTACTGACCGGTTAAACAATTTCCTGGATGTTGTTGGTGCTTCTCTTCATTCAGGACTGGGCAGTGGTCCTTCCTTTGCTTCTAGTTTGCTTGCCTGTGCTGGGGAGAAGCTAGCCCTAGATTGCCATTTGGGGAGCAATAGGACAACAGCAGTATGTGTGAGCAGAGATCAAAAGCAAAGTGCTGCAGAAAGTGTCAAGTCAACCTATTTAACGTGTTGTCTTCTACCAGCAACTTATTATGCAAGATAACCAGTTTTATGTACCTGTGGAATTATAACAAGTTAAGAAGGCAGGCATGTTACTGGAGAGTTTGGGTTAAGCAAGCAGAAAGTACAGAAAGCAGTGTGTGTGTGTGTGTGTGTGTGTGTATATATATATATATATGTCAGTTCTTGGCTTTGAATTATAGTTTTAAAAAATTGTGTAAGAGAAACGATATCTACAAGCCAACCTCACTGAATAAACAGCAAGATAAAAACAATGAACAATTATTAAATCAATCCTATATTTAACAGCCACTAAGTAATAATTCAGGATGTTCATTTCTGCATGGTGATCCCGTGAGGCTGGGACAAGCACATGGGGAGGGTTCTTGGCTGAACATTAGAATCACTTGGGGAACTTAGAGAAAAATATTTATGCCAGGGCCCACCCTGGCATGATCTAATTTGCCTGGGGCGGAGCCTGGGCATTTGTTTGTTTTAAGTTCCCCCACGTGATTCTAATGTGCCTGCAAGTTAAGAAGATCAGAGAATGAGAAAGTGAGTTATTGGACTGGAAATGACCAGTTAGCCTGCTTTACTGGAGCAGGGGGCTGTGGACTGGAGATTAATAAAAGGTAGATGAATCCACCATGGGACATCATAATGTAGTAGGAAATAAGGCTATGAGAATTGCTGTTGAAAAAGTTCTGACTGATCTCCGTAGTTAAGTTAGGACCTCTAGAGGCTGTGGGAAAAGCAGCATTCAATTCAGCTGTGCCCACCGCAGGCGCTGTCCAGACACCTGGTCTGGGAAACACGGGCAGGATCCTGGATGCGCACAGACGGGAGCCGCACGGGTTCCTGTGCTGTACCCTGACTTCTATTGTGGTGACGCTAGCAGTTTGCTGAAGAATGAAGAGGGACCGTGGTGATGTCATTACCAGCTTGGATTTAACCATAAGATGTGGTTTCACACCCTATTTGTGGCATTTAGAAAAACCAGTATTATTCTGTATGCGCTCCGGACTTCATTTTGAATGAATTTTGGCCATTTTTAGTAATCAAATCCACACTTAAAAATCGAAGGGATACCCATTGAGAAGATTCAAGAGAACATAGTGCAATTGTTAATTCCCAACACAAAACCTGTCTGCACATACAGGGTTTCTAAGCCCCAGGTACCCATTGCGGTAGAACTCTTGAGTAGCTAACTCGCTTAGTCACTCAAGCAATTACATGTTTATTAAGATTGAGCAAAGTACCACACAGTCATTAAGAACTGAAGAAAAGCCAACAAACTTCACTTGTCTACTGTGTCAAGACTTGTGAAAAAGGTGATGAAATGCCTGTTAAAGTAGGCTGAGAATAAACTCAGGAGGGAAAAAGTAGTATTTTCTCTAAACTTTCTGAAAAGCAGGAATTTTCAGAAGTTAGTGGGAAAGAGGGAAAATGTATGTGTGCGGGTGTGTATGTACATGCACACGCACACTTAAGTTTGAATAAAAATATTGGCAAAGGGTGGATCTGAAAAGGCAAGCATGTTGAAAACTCATTAGCAAGAGCAAACTGACCTAAAAACTGTGTGATACAAAATATTGTACTGTGATCCCCACATCAACACTTTCTCCCTCTTCCATTGTCTGATTTTTAGTCACACTTAGGATGCCAGTGATTTGGCCACCTACAGGTTACCCTTCCTTTGGAGGCTGACATAACTTAGATCCTCAAGTGAAGACAGGAAGTTGGAACCACAGACATGCCAGTGGGTGAGGGGAGCTGAAGCTGCTCTCCTTTCTCCTTCCTATGGATTACACTGTTGTCCTTATTAAGCCTGCTTGTTAAATTAGGCATGGGAGATACCGAGATAGCAGTGCTAATCTGGTTACCCTGTTCACTTAGCTGAGTGAATCTGGAGGTTTCCTTTCTCAAATAAAGTTTGCAGTTGTTGGTGGGGCATGGAGTGCACGGGAGCACCAGGAAGACTTAAGAAACGATGGACACATGTATTGGGTTCTCCAGAGAAACGGAACTAAAATGATACACAGAGATATATGAAAGGAGATTTATTCTAGGAATTAGCTCATGTAATTATGGAGGTCAAGAAGTTCCATGGTCTGCCACTGCAAGCTGGGGAACCAGGAAAGCCAGTGGTGTAAGGCCCAAGAACCAGGACAGTTGGCATCCAAAGGCAGGAGGAGATAGATGTCTCAGCTCCAGGGAGGAGCTAATCTGCCCCTCCTTGGCCTTTTTGTTCTATTCAGGCCCTCAAGGGATTGGGTGATGCTCACTCACATTTGTGAGGGCACCTTCTCCAGTCTACCGATTCAAATGCTAATTTCTTCAGGAAACACCCTCACAGACACACCCAGAAAAGTGTTCTACCAGCCAACTGGTCATCCCTTGGCCCAGTCAAACTGATGCATAGAATTAACCATCATGACACATAAGTGTTCTGGCATTTCTGCATCCCCTCTCTTCTGGCCTCTCTCACATCCTCTGGTTCAGCATCTGTCACTTCAAATACCCTGTCCAGAGCCATAGCTATAGAATTCCTACTGAGGAGATGAAAAGCAGCTCCCTCCTGAGGCATGGAGGGGCAGTCCTGGATCCTTCCCTTTCAGGAGATGTTTATTAACGATGATACTTGACATCTTATAATCCACATTACCCAGCTGCTGACTCTGCTCCTCAGTAATTCAGGTAACTGCCTCACAATTACCCAGTGATTCAGAGAAACGAGCCTAGTGACCTGGCAGCTCTCCCAGGACAGGGTCTCTCCCTCCCCAGCACAGCTCCCAGCCCCGCCAGTCCCTCAGTCACTGGAGTGCCCATCAGAGGGTCCACGGCCAGTGCAGCTACAACAGCCGCCTCCCCACACCCTTCTTGTTTTCCTTCTGGGGGGTGTCCCCTAATCCCCGCATTCACGTCTCCCCCTGCCGCAGCCACTAACCCGTTTCGGTGGCCTGTGGTTGCTAGGCATGGCAGTTATGAAACCATGCTAGTACAGTGCAACTGTGCATTTAAATTCCGTTGGAGCTGAGTCGCTTTGCGCATGTCATAGCAGTGAACGCGGCCTCTGGCCCTGGGCAGCCACTCTGGCTGCAGGGGTTTCAAGTGTGGCTGGCTTTGTGAAAATGCACCCTCTGTGAAGGGAGAAACGTGCAGCGGATATGCTATGATGGTGACTTACTGTGTAAGCCAGTTATTATAACTAGTATTATAACTAGTTTAGTGCTTAAGGGGAGTAGTTGTAACTGCTTTTTACTGAAAAGATGGCTTAAACCTTTGGGGCTAACCCAGCCTCTCCCACCTTTAGGAAAGCGGGATGATTGATGGTTGGTGGGTCAGAATGTGTGCTCTGATGTGTGTCACTCGTGGAAATGAATTTACCTGGAACTTTTCAGACTCTGCTTATCTGGTTCCCCTAAGAACAGTGGACATGATATTTACAAACAAGGGACAGCCTGTGGCCAGGGAATGGAGGGAAGGAGATCACTAGCTTCTGGGAACATAACCTTCACCAGCCTGTAAGCTCCTTGAGGATAAGACGGTCCACAAGATACTCATTCTGTATCCAGGAAGGATGCCTAACACAGAAAGCACTTGATAAGTGTTCTGAATATGTTGCTTTAAGCACATGTCTCACTTGGGGGGATAATGCCTTTTATTTTACTAAGTGCAGTGAGACAAAAGAGTACCCGTCTGGGGTGATTCTGCGGCAGGTCTTCCTCTACACAGGGCAGTAAGTAGCTCTGGAGATCTCTGTCTTAAGAAGATAGGAACCAGTCATCTAGGAAAGCAAAGTAGATACAATTTAATTATAATTATATAATTATAAGATTTATCTTTGGGGAGTAACTACCTTTGTTGGGTGCCTGCTATGTGCTAAGCACTGATCTCATCTCATTTGACTGTACAACTGTGGAGTGGACATTATTTGCTTCATTTCTATTTGGAGAGACTGACGGAAGCTCAGAAGTTAAATTGCGCACAGTCACAGCTAGAGCGCTGTGATTTTGGAACTTAAACTCAGGTATATGCAAATGCAAAGCCCACCATCTAAGTGGTACCTGGCACATAGTAGCTGCTCAGTAAATATTTGTGGAATGAATGAGTGAATTTCCCCGCCCTCACCCTATCTTCTGCATCAGCCTACCCGAGCCTTCCCCTGGTTCCTCTTCTGATTTGGCTTAATGTTTCAAAGTGCTGTTGACCTACATTTAAAGGTTTTGGAAGAGGCTGCTGCTGAAATGCGGTGCGCCTTACCTGGGAGGAGGAGTACGGCCCTCTTCTGACACATTAGCCCAGATCCCTTCTGTAGCATCCAGACCAATGCGAAGGCCTGGAGTTGGTCCCGGTGTATTTGGACTGGGGAGGGAGAGTGGGAGGTCAAGCCTGCAAAAGCGTGAGGGAAGGGCAAAGGCCAGAAGATAGAGTCCGCAGACACAATTAGTCTTGCAAATTTTTCAAAAGGGTCAGGCACCATTTTCCTTTGGGATAGCCCAATACATATTTGCAGAATTAACAGAAATCGGGACCTGGCATTGTCTGGGACTTTGGGGCAGGCCATCCCACACGGAGGGCTCTGACGAGCACATCCTCCCAGGGCCACTTTGGGGGCGGCGGTGGGAGTGGCCTGGGCCCCGAAGTGGCCCCCGCCGGTCCCCGCAGGCGGGCAGGAGCTCGGAGACCATTGGCTGGCGAGCTGGCTGCGCAGGGGCGGGGAGCGCCGCCGAAGGGGACTGTTTGCTCCTACGGGCTGTAGATGGAGCTGTCCGGCCCCGGCGAGGGGGAAGGCGCCTGGAAAACGTTCTTCTCCCTGGCCGGCCCGAGCGGGGAACAGCACTCCCAGGATGCAGTTTGTGTCAACACGGCCGCAGCCTCAGCAGCTGGGCATCCAGGGCCTGGGGCTGGACAGCGGGAGCTGGAGCTGGGCCCAGGCTCTGCCCCCGGAGGAGGTCTGCCACCAGGAGCCGGCGCTGCGCGGGGAAATGGCCGAGGGAATGCCGCCCATGCAGGTGGGTGCACCCCCGCCCAGCGCCATGGCCGCGCCGCCTGGCCGTGGGGGCGGGGCGCGGGGCTGCGGGGCTGGGGGTGCGGGCGCGGGGCTGCGGGCGCCGGGGGGGGGCGGGGGGGGGGCGCACGTCGGCGCCGGAGGGCCCTCGGTGTGCGGGCGCCGAATCGGAGGCCCGGGGGGGGCCGGGGCGCGGGCGGACTCGCGCGGCAGGCGGGGCGCAGCGGCCCCCAGCAGGCCCGGCCCCGAGTCCCGCGCCCGGCCCCGGCGCCCGAGCAGGCCCGGCCCGCGCGCGCCGCCGAGCAGCAGGCCCCGAGGCCGCGTGCTGCCCGGGCCCGGTGCCCGCGCCCAGAGGAGGCCCCGGGGGGAAGGCGGCGGGGACCTAGCGGAGCCGTGACCGCGGCACGCACCCCGGCCCGGGCTCCCCTTCGCGCACTTGTGCCCGGGCCCCGGCTGTGTGCGCACCGCAGTGCACCATCGGGTTCACACCCTAGCCACCTGGACAAAAAGATTTGTATTAATGTTGTATTGCCATCTCTCACCAAGTATAACGTGTCATTCACTTCTCCTTTGCACCGGCTGTGACGGAGGAAGGGGGCCATTGAGAGGTGACTTTGCCGTTGGCAAACTTGGCTGCACGCTGGAGTCACCTGAGCAGCTTTTAAGACTCCTGACGCCCAAACTTCGTCCCCAGCCAGTGAAATCGGTGTCTCTGGGTGGAGAGTAGACCCCGTCAGTTCTTGAAGCTTCTAAGGATCTCAGTGTGCGCCCGAGTTTTGAGAGTCAGTGCTCTGGAGTTGTGTACCGTGTACAACGTGAGGCGGTGGTGCTGATTGAGAGCGGAGTCGTGTTCCCCGGGCGAGTGTGGGAACTGACCCGGGGCTGGCCCCGCAGAAGCCCCCTCTGCTCCTAGCCTGCTTCTCCACCAGCTCTGACCAGTTAGCCAGGAGTTGCTGTGTCGGATCATTTTTCAGCCTTACCTCTCCAACCTTCCAAAAGTCATTTGGGCCTGGTGACGCTCTGAACTTCCACTGACAGCCCTTGTCTTCTTCTCTGGGCCGTCAGGAGCGAGGCCTGCATGAGCTCAGATGGATGGCTTTGATGGAAGCATGGTCTCTTTACTTAGCAGGGTCTGGCACCCAGGGCCCTGCTCCCATTATCCCACGTCTCGGAGCGAGTCCCTGGAAGCTGTGGGGGTGTTCCTCTGTGGCCATCACAGCTGCTCTGAGTTAGGGCAGTTGGCATGTGTGGCCCTGGCCTGCCCACGTCACCTCTCAGCAGCAGGCCTCCGCTTTGCCCAGCCCGAGGGCCTCGTCAGCAGCAACAGGGAGGAAAGAAAATGACACCTGCCATCCCACATGGCAAGGAGAGTTGGTTATCAGCCCTGCTGTTGGCCAGGAAGCCCTGGGTACGGGTATACGGTATGGGGCCAGTTCCCAGGTCACCAGTGAACTGGGAACACCCCCTCTTGGCCATAGGGCTCAGCTCCCAAAGCGGACCCATGGGGCCTCACCTTCCAGGGACAGGAAGTGGACTAGAAAGTCTTCTCCTCTCAGGCGTGTCCCCTCTTCAGTGAATGACGTTTTTTGGCAAACCTATTTTCATTTTAGAAAATATGAATCAGGAGTTGGATATGGAAAAAAGGCTGCTCATCTGCTCACTCAGGCTCTCTGGGGTCTCCCTTGGTCACAGCTGCCGGGTATGGGGGCAGCACTTACCTGAACCGTGCTCTTGTTACCTGTAGCACCTAGCTCTGCTCCGGTGGGCAGTGACACCAGGAGCCGTGGAATGACCAGCCACATCTCTGTGCCTCAGTTCCATCATCTTTAAAGCAGAGATAATCATTCTTGCCCTAACCTGCTTGGAGATTGCAGGGGAGATTAGGGTCAGGTGACTTAGGCCAGAATTCTTACTTTGAATCAGAAGGCACTAGGTGACTTTCGAGAGAGTTCATCGTCAGGTCTAGCCCCCGAGGAGACAGCTGCGCTGTGAAAGCGGCAGGTGACATTTTGGGCGGGGGTCTGCAGCTTTGGCTTACGAAGGGTCACGTGGGTAAACGAGTGACCGATCTTGATGGGAAGGTTGGCCGGGAGGCTCCTCGAGGTAGTGCTGGGGCCAGGAATGAACACCATAGCCTGGGGCGGGGGGCACGGTGGAGGGGCGAGAGTCTGCGGCATCTGGTTAGTTGTTCTCTGTTCCCAGGCCCCCCTCCCCACCTCACATAGGCTCTCAGCCCCCGCTGTCACTTTCTCCCCCTGCACACAGGCTCAAGAGTGGGACATGGATGCCCGGCGACCGATGCCTTTCCAGTTCCCGCCCTTCCCAGACAGGGCACCTGTCTTCCCTGACCGCATGATGAGAGAGCCCCAGCTGCCCACGGCAGAGATCTCACTCTGGACCGTGGTGGCCGCCATCCAGGCCGTGGAAAGGAAGGTGGAGGCTCAGGCCAGCCAGCTGCTAAATCTGGAGGGGCGGACGGGGACGGCCGAGAAGAAGCTGGCCGACTGCGAGAAGACGGCCGTGGAGTTCAGCAACCACATGGAGAGCAAGTGGGCCGTGCTGGGGACCCTGCTGCAGGAGTACGGGCTGCTGCAGAGGCGGCTGGAGAACATGGAGAACCTGCTGAGGAACCGAAATTTCTGGGTCCTGAGACTGCCCCCGGGCAGCAAGGGGGAGGTCCCCAAGGTACGTGGTGGTCCTCAGGGACAGGGATGGAAGTGAGGACCAGCACATGTCAACGAAACTCTCAATTTCATTTGGCCGGTCCTTCCCACAAAATTCTCTGGCTCCCTCTTGTATGATTTCAGTGTCTCTCTCTCTCTCTCTTTTTGTTTTTTGAGAGAGAGAGAGAGAGTGCGCACACGGGGGGCGGGGGGAGCAGGGAGGGAGGGGCAGAGGAAGAGGGAGAGAATCTTAAGCAGACTCCCTGAGCGTGGAGCTGGACGTGGGGCTTGATCTCATGACCCCAAGATCATGACCTGAGCCAAAATCAAGAGTTGGACGCTCACCTGACTGAGCCCCCCAGGTGCCCCTTATTTCAGTGTCTCTTAAAGCCTGCCTCCACTTAAACAGCTGAGTCATGAATGTTCTACCTCCACGAGGCTGCCCTCCACCCGTTCCCCACAGAATCTGCCTGCTTCTGTCTGTCAGGCTTTCCTGTCACCTTTCCCAATACCCCCGAGGTATCTGGGTGTCTGCAGACTCCTGCCGCTCGTCATGCTTGGGTTTTCCACTTGGCACCTACAGAGGACCATTTGCCATTGGTTATCTTTGTACATGCTCATTGGAACGCGGCTGAGGCAAACCACGCTGACTGGACTTGCTAGGAAGTTGTGACCATCCCCTCTGCTGGCTTTCTTGCAGCTCAGAATTCATGTTCCATTTCCCCCTTCCATTCCCTCGCCTCCTGCACCCACCCTGCCCCCCCTACCCCCGGATCATCAACATTGTACTGTCAGTCGATGACCCAGCCTTCTGGTCTACCGAGAACATGGAGTCACTACAAGAGGCATACATTCAGCCACGACCCTCACCCACCCGATGCTGCCTCAAGCCTGTTGCCTTCCCTGTTCCCACGGCCTCGCCGGCCCACCCTTCCCCCCTTGGCTGACTCCCCCCACCCACCCGCCTTCCCCCCATTCCCCTCTGTGTCATCAACTCTTCCCCCTACTGGTCGTTCTAGACGTCCTAGAACATCACGCGTCTCTGTGATGAAAACTTCCCTCGGCTCTACCTCTCCCTGCAGTTGGTGCCTCATTTCTCCGCTCTTCGTTAAGCAGAATTCCTTAAACGTGTATTTGCTGTCTCCAGTTCCTTCTCTCCCTGTCCTTTTTAACCTTTTTATTATAGAAAACTCAAACATCCACACAAGTACATAGAATAGTGTGAGGAACCATCACGGACCCATCATCCAGCTTCCGCAGCTGTTGGCTCTCGGCCAGGCTTGTTTGCTCTAAAGCCCGCCCCCCCACATCCCCTCCTGTTTTATTTTTAAGCCAGTCTCAGGCATCAGTCTACTTTCTTTCTTTTTTTTTTTTTTAAGATTTTATTTATTTGGGCGCCTGGGTGGCTCAGTTGGTTAAGCGACTGCCTTCGGCTCAGGTCATGATCCTGGAGTCTCGGGATCGAGTCCCGCATCGGGCTCCTTGCTCAGCGAGGAGTCTGCTTCTCCCTCTGACCCTCCTCCCCTCATGCTCTCTCTCTCTCTCTCATTCTCTCTCTCTCAAATAAATAAATAAAATCTTTAAAAAAAAAAAAAAAGAAACTAGGCCTCACATCCTCTTGAGTTTCTTACTCTCTGGATTCTGCTGCTGCATCCTCCACGGTCTCATTGAGCATGTTCCTCTATTCTCAGTATTCCAGTAAGGTTGTGATTGGATCATTCTGGAGTCTCTGCCAATCAGGCTTCTGCTCCTACCTCTCCATCCTGTTGGTCTTGCCAACGCCCTCATGATGTCCACACTCAGTTCTGCCTTCATCTTCTCTGCCCTGAAGGTGGCGTTGCATGCAGGTGGCCACCCCCTCCTTGAGACACCTTTTCACGGGGCTTCCAGGTGACCTCTCCTGATTCTGTTCCTATTTCCTAGTGGCTCCTACTCAGTCTCCTTCACAGGCTTCACCTTCTTTTCCTGACCTTTTATGTTTGGAGTGGTCCAGGGCTGGGTAATGACCTTTGGCTCATTATCTACACTCCCTCCCTCATGATTTCACTCAGTCTCGGGGTTTTAAATACAGCCTGTGTGCTGTCAGCTTCCAAATGCAGTCTCCCCCGCCCACTCTCTCCCTGTCTCTTGCCCAGACTTCCTTCTTCAATGCCAGATTCACATGCTTACCTGCTAATGCAGCGGGACTCGGTAAATATCTAGATTTAACACGACCAAACTGAACTCCCATATTCCGCCTGAAACCTGTTCTACCCCATTCTCGTCTCCGTGAAGACAACTCTACCCTTCCAGTGGCTCAAGCCAAAAACTTTGGGGTCATGTTTGCTTCTTCTCTTTCTCAGCCCTCCTTCCGATATATTAGTAAATGCCATCTGAGTTTTCTTCAAAATACTGTCCCCAGGCTGACCACTCCTTTCCACCTCCACTGCTCCCACCATCATCTGGTGAGAGACTCCGTCACCTTGCCTCTGATAGTTGCCATGGCCTCCTGCCTGCTCTCCTTGTCCCCGTCCTTGTCCCTCACCCTCTACAATCTGTTCTCAGCAGAGTAGCCAGAGTGATTCTTTAAAAATATAAATCAGTTACCTCTGCTTAAAACCCCCAACTGGCTTCCTACCTCATGCAGCATAAAAGCCCCTGTTCCGTCAGGGGCCCTCTCTCCGGCCCCACCTTTCTGACCTCATCTCCCCTCCACCCCTCTTGTCCACTCCTTTCCAGCCACACAGTCTCACCTCAGGGACCTCCCTCCACGGGAAAGCTCCCTCCCTGGGAACCTGCCTGGCTCCCTCCCCATCGCTTCCATCAGGGGTCTGCCCTTCCATGGCCCCCCAACACCAAAGAACCACGTCCCCCCAGTCCCAGCACTCTCTTTTCCCCGTCCCTGCTCCCATGTTCTCCAAAGCACTGTGCCATCGGGCACCTTAAATATTTATTTCTTTTTGTGTCTTCTTGGATGGTCTTCCCTGACCAGAATGTAATTTCTGCTTGGTTCACCGCTGTGTCTCCTTGTCTATAACTGCACCGGCTTCGGTCAGTATCCAGAAGGTGTTTGCTGAGTGACTCTGTCCAGCTGGAGAGCTCACACTTTCATGTGAGGGACTGGGTCTTCTAGGTCTCCATATCTTTTGGAAAGAAGTAAAGTATAAGTAAATAATTTTGTAAGTAAATACCCAGCTGGTCACTCTGAATTTCAGGGTTCTCATCTGTAAGACGAAGATGACAGCACATTTAGGACACGGGTTGTGAGGATTCACTGATTTTGTAGATGGACAACACTGTGTACCCTGTCGTCTTAGTTTTCTTTCTTTTTTTTTTTTAAGATTTTATTTATTTGACAGAGACACAGCGAGAGAGGGAACACAAGCAGGGTGGAGAGGCAGAGGGAGAGGGAGAAGCAGGCTTCCCATTGAGCAGGGAGCCCGATGTGAGGCTCAATCCCAGGACCCCGGGATCATGACCTGAGCCGAAGGCAGACGCTTAACGACTGAGCCACCCAGGTGCCCCTGTCGTCTTAGTTTTCTATTGCCATGTAGCAAATTACTCCCCAAACTTAGCAGCCTAAAAAAAGTAATTATTTGCCATCTTGCAGTTTCTGTGGGTTAGGAATTCAGGAGCAGCTTGGCTGAGTGATTCTGGCTCAGAGTCTCATGAAGTTGTAATCAAGCTATTGACTGAGTTGGTGGCAATCTGAAGGCCTGGCTGAGGCCTGAGGATCTGCCTCCAGGATGGCCCACTCACTTGGCTGTTGGCAAAGCCTCAGTTCCTCACTGTGTGGACCTCCCAACATGGCCGCTTGAATATCCTCACAACATGGCAGCTGGCTCCCCCCAGAGTGGGTGAGCCAAGAGAGAGACCGGGATAGAGCTGTCCTGTCTTTTATGACCTAGTCTCAGAAATTGTACACATCACTCCTTAATGTGTTTGTTAGAAGCAAGTCACTAAATCCTGCCCACGCCAAAGGGGAGGAACATCAGGCTCTACTTTTTGAAGGGACTGCCAAAGAATTTGTGGACATATTTTAAAACCCACCCCCATGAAGCACCATGAGAGAGTTAATTAATGTTGCTCTTAATAGTTATAATTCATTGTGTACTGTTGGCCATGCTAAGTGCATTCTCTTTGTCAGATTCAAGGAAGGCTGTTGTCTCTCAGATCCTTTGTGCCTCCTGGATTCTAGTGTGCCTGTTAATTGGCTGACAGATAATTCACAGGCAGTCTTTTCTGTCCAGCTAGACTGTAGGCTCCCTGCCGTCTCTGGCCGGTCTCAGACTTCTGCTGTATCCTGGCACAGGGAAGTTTTTATGTAGTGATGGCTCTTTCCAACTGTGGGAATATGATTCCAGAATTGTGACTCTTCATAAAAATGGTGAGGTGAGGCAGAGGAGTTGGCATGTTGGAAAAGATGATGAACTTGGTGTTGGATACATTTAGTTTGAGGTACTTAAGAAGCGATTAAACAGAGCCACTCAGAGGGCTGTTGAAATCTGAACTCTATAGGGAACAAGGAAAACTGAAGAGTATCATCCGCACAGAGGTAACCACTGAAGTTGTGCAAAGAATGAACTTGCTGAGGAAAAAGTGAAGGGACAGGGAAAGGTAAGGGCAGAGCCTTGGGGTTGGGGGAGGAAGAGAAGGTAGTAAGCTGAGTGGGCAGGAGGAAGCAGAGTCGTGGAAAACAAGCAGGAGATTCCAGAAAGGCGATCTGCCCTTGCAAAGAGGTCTGAAAGGGTAAGGGTTAACAGGAGGCTACCGACAGCCTTCCAGGGTGTGGTTTCAGAGCATGGGGAGTTCATAGACAAGATTTTAAGGCGTTAAAGGATGCATGAATTGTGAAGAAGGAAGCACAAAGCGTGTCTCTTGGGGTGTTTTAAGTGAAGAGGGAGAGTAGAGTCGCTTGAGACGACAGAGTTGAGTGGCGGTTCATCTTAAGTTGGATGACCTGCAAGGGAAAGCCACTGGAGAGGGAGAGCCTGAGATGTCAAAGAGAAAAGTTTGTTTGAGTCGAGTTTCACAGGCAGGGGCTGGAGGAGAAATGAAGGGCACATTAGCGGGGGGTTGGCTTGGTGAGAAGGGCAAGGAAGCTTGCCAGCAGCTACCTGGGATCAGGATCCAGGATGGATCGGGAAGACGGGGGAGCGGCTGGGGAGGGTTGGGGAGAGGGGAGAGTTTGGAAGAAGCCTCCCAGAGAGCACAGGAGAGGTCCACAAGATCCACCAGAGGCTTCCTGGGACGAGTGGTATGAACGTATGGTGGATGTCGCCTGCAGAATTGTGTGACTTGTCTAGGGGCAGGAAATGAAAATGAAGAAAGTGGTCTGTATCGGTTTTCGCGGCTTGGGGATATGCCCCAGTCTGGTGGAAGGTCCAGGAAATTAAAAGTTCTGTTCTGTCTCTAAAGATGGGTGGTGGGTGAGCTCTCAGTCAGTGGGTGACATACAAGTACGCACACAACACCTGCACAGGATACCCGTAGGGTTATGAGCACCTGATGTGACAGCAGACATTTCTTTCTTTTTTTTTTTTTTAAAGATTTTATTTATTTCTTTGACAGAGAGAGAGAGCAAGAGAGGGAACACTAGCAGGGGGAGCGGGAGAAGGAGAAGCAGGCTTCCCGCCGAGCAGGGAGAGCCCGATGCGGGGCTTGATCCCAGGACCCTGGGATCCTGACCTGAGCCGAAGGCAGACGCTCAACGACTGAGCCACCCAGGCACCCCGAGAGCAGACATTTCTAATTTGTGTAAAGGCGCTGCCCACTCACCGAGCTGGACACCAGTGGGCCTGGAGCCCAGAGGGCTGGTCCTTTCCTAATGGGTGCCACATAGGCTGGCTTGGCCCTGTGTGCAGGTGCAAAGACCAGTGGACTCAAATTAGGGCCAGGGAGAAGGGAGGGGTTGGATTTCTGAGTGCGAGTGGAAGGCTGGTCCTGTGGGTGTGAGAGTGGGGGGTGGGTGGGGGCAGGGCTGGGTGTCCGAGAAGGGAAGTTCAGATGTTGAAGTCATGGAGTGAAACCATTCTGAACGATGTGGGCCAAGGCAAGGCCACGCTGCTGAGCATCCAAGATGAGTCCAGAGGACCCTTGTCAAACCGAAGTAACAGTTTTATAGAACAGACGAGACCGCCTAAAATAACAGGGGCCCGGCATCTGGGATGGTTGACTCAGGCTGCGGTGGAACTTTCTAGTATTGGCAACAGCCAGCCGCTCAACGTATTCAACAAATATTTACTGGCTCCAGACTCTCTGCTTCTAGATGCTTGGGATATAGCGGTGAACGAAACAGATCAAGATCCTGGAGCTCTAGCACATGCCCTTAGATTTACATGTTTTAATGACAAAAATGTAACTGTGTACCTTACTGAGATAACCTGACTGGAAAGACAGGTTTTGTAACAGGGTTTTACTGTCCTCGGCTCACTGATCCCCTCTCGGAGAACCTTCCACACCTCTGTCACCCTGAGTGCCGAAAGCAGCACATTGACTTTGGCTTTACCTTCAGGGACCCAGTTTCCCTAAACGTGGAATTACAGAGGATATGGTTAAATGCGTTTAAAAAAAAAAAAAAAAGGTAGTGTTGACCATCCTTGTTTGGGGAGCACGAGAAGATCAGGAATAGAGTGGGCTGACTCCACTCCTGTGGACTGGGCTGGGATTTGGGGGACGGGGAGCCATGGCGAGCAGAAGCAGGCTCGAGGGTGGAAGGGGCCCCGTGGCCAACGGAGGGGAGGCTGTGGGGAGAAGCAAGCAGGTGTCAGACTAAAACTCTTCTTGGCCAAGGTTCCCGTGACGTTTGTCGACATCGCTGTTTACTTCTCTGAGGATGAGTGGAAGAACTTGGACGAATGGCAGAAGGAGCTTTACAACAACCTTGTTAAGGAGAACTATAAAACCCTGATGTCCCTGGGTAAGAGCCCCTTCCCTCCTCCAGGGCAAGCAGTCTGTGCAGAGGGCAGTAAAACGCTTATCAGCCTGGGCAAAGTGTTTGTGTTCATCCCTAATGGAAATGCAAGTAACTATCTGCTCATAACGCTATAAAGAAAGAATGAGTATAACAAGATGACAGTTAGAAACCCAGTAACAGGGCCTGTCACTATAGCATTGAGCACTGCACTGCTTTTGTTCTGGAACACGGCCAAACTGCATCATTGGCATGTGACTACACGCTGCCTCCCCATGGATGAGCCGCAGTCTGTCTGCTGTTGGCTTTCGGAGTCCTGCTATTTCTACGCTGGAAATTGGGCGTCTGTTGGCTTGTTTTCAGGGTTCCTTCTACGAGATGAGCTAACATAGGTATCGGCGACCACCGAGAGGGGCTCTCTGCTGGGGAGGGGGTCTTGGGTGGGGGAGACTTCTGCGGCTGCCCTTGATCGGGATCCGTTGGTCAACTTCATTGTGTGTGCTTCCTTCCCCTCCAACTCATTCCAGACACGGAGGGTGCAGTGCCCAAGCCAGATGCTCCATCCCAGGTGGAGCCCAGGGAAGAGCCTTGCGTGTGGGAGCAGCGTGACCCAGAAGAGAGAGAAATCTTAATGGATCCAGACACAGGTGATGGCCGCTGAAAAGAGCCCCAGGGGCAGGAGAGGAGCCGAGGAGATGTAGTTCCTGACAGCGCTGTCCCTGGTCAGCTCTCGCTGGAATGGAAGGTTCCAGGGCTATAGTCCTGGCTGTGCCCCGGAGGCCTTTCGTCAGGCCCTCAGCTCTCCTGAGTGGTGCTGCCCCTGGTGCAGCCGAGCCTGAACTGTGTTCTCTGCCTTATCATACAAACTCTGCCCTTCTTCAGGAAGTTCCTTTTTTTTTTTTAAAGATTTTATTTATTTATTTGAGAGAGAGAGCATGAGAGGGAGGAGGGTCAGAGGGAGAAGCAGACTCCCTGCCGAGCAGGGAGCCCGATGCGGGACTCAATCCTGTGACTCCAGGATCATGACCTGAGCTGAAGGCAGTCGCTTAACCAACTGAGCCACCCAGGCGCCCAAGATTTTTTATTTTTTATTTATTTGACAGACAGAGACACAGCGAGAGAAGGAACACAAGCAGGGGGGAGGGTGAGAGGGAGAAGCAGGCTTCCCGCGGAGCAGGGAGCCCGATGCGGGGCTCGAACCCAGGACCCTGGGACCATGACCTGAGCCGAAGGCAGACGCTTAACGACTGAGCCACCCAGGCACCCCACCTCAGGAAGTTCCTTTAGAAGGTCACTCAGGGCAGCCCCTTCCTTTCCAGTCTGTTCTCTTCATTGGAATATAATTCATATGCCATAAATAAAGTCACCCTTTTAAAGTGTATAATTCAGGGGTTCACAAAGTTGTGCAACCATCACCATGATCTAATTCCAGAACCTCTTCATCACGGGAAACCCCGGACCCGTGAGCAGTCAGTCCCACCTCCCCCCAGCCCCCAGCCCCTGGCCACCACTGATTGGCCCTGTCTCTGTGCATTGGCGTGTTGCAGACAGTTCATCTGGCGGCCCACTCCCCATCTTCAAGCACTGCAGGGGCTGAGGTCAGCAGCTGGGGAAGCCCTTCATGCTTACGGCCCTGGACCTCAGCAGTGTCACCTAGTTGTCATCCATCACTGTGCGTGCGCTGGCATGGTGACCGCTGTGCCCGTGTTGTGGGTGGAACGAGCAGGCCGAGAACCAGAGAGGTCGGATGGCTCACCTGCTGGGCTGGGGGCACAGTGGAAACCAGGATCCAAGTCTTCCGGTTCCTCCTCTGATCTCCCCCCAGCCACCTGAGCCGCCTGCTCTCAGGGCTAGTACGTCGCACCACAGAACATCAGGACACACCCTGTTTGTCACATCTTGGGGTCTACAGAGAGGATATATCATTGTCCTGTATGTGTGAGGACACTGCATTATCCATCCAGGTTGGGACCAGGCAGAAGGCTGGTAATGGTGTGTGGGTGTGGGTGGGTGTGGCCACCTCCCTCTGACTGGGGTGAAAAATGAACATGAACATCTTGTACACAGAGGTCAAACTTCTGGCCTTGCCCTGATTAGCACCAAACCCAGGCTGGGCCATTTTTGGAACTCTCTCCGGGCCTCATTACACCGCATCCCGCGGCTTGGCCTACCCCTTTGTCCGGAATGCTGATTATTTCTCTGCTCACAGAACCTTCTACTTCCCGCAGTTGCCCACAGGAGCCCGAGGCTCCTGTGCTTCTATGTGCTGTATTCCTGACCCCGAGAACATCTGGGTGATGATTGTTCAGAAAAAAACCCCAAATGACATCCTTCTCTCTCCCCAGGAGCAGAGCCCCTGGTGTCTGCACAGGATTCATCATCGCAGGTGAAACGGGAGGAAGCCCTATGTGTCCGGGGTCAGCGGGGCCTGGAGGAAAGAGCCATCCCCACGGAGTCCATTACTGGTGAGTGAGCCCAGTAGCTGCCTGAAGCCAGGGAGGGAGCGGAAAGGGCCAGCATGGTCTGCAGGCCCCCAGCATCATCCGTCGTGGGTGGCAGACCAGAGGCCAGAGCTGGAAATGTAAGAGTTGGGTCCGGAATGGGCAGAGAGACAGGATTTCCCATAGGGCACAAACATAGCACATCTGGGCTTAGCTCGTCCTGTTACCTCTCTTTTTATATGTTTTTAACTATTCCTTCCTCCCCTTGAAGAGGAGTATCAGGGCAGAAGTACTAAGTGTAAGAAACTTCATGATGAAGCGCTGTGGTCTGGGAATATATCAGTCCATAGGACCTGCTCCTGATTGGGAAGAGCTTTCATTGTTTTCAACAAGTATTTATGGGTTGTTGCCTCTGTGCCCGTGGGGTAGTCGTGGGGGCGGGGTGGGTTTCCTCTTAGGTGACGTTCCAGCTGGACTCTGTGTGAGAAGCCTCTGAGAGCATATGTGTATTAGGGTGCTCCAGAGAACCCACAGGGTGTGTGTGGGTATGTATCTGCGTGTGGAGAGAGAGACAGACAGGCAGACTGATTTTAAGGAACTGCCTTCAGTGATTGTGGAGGCTGGCATGTCCAGAATCTGCAGGCTGGAGACCCAGCACAGTCTTCTGGCCGGATTCCCTCTTCCTTGGGGGTGGTTTGTCTTTTTCTGTGGAAGCCTTCACCTGTTGGTATGAGGCCCACCCACATTATGGAAGGCAGGGGTTGCTGATTGAAATATTAATCTTCTCAAAAAATAAAATCCGTTTACAGAACCCTCTAGAATAATGTCTGGGGGCGCCTGGGTGGCTCAGTCAGTTAAGCATCTGCCTTCAGCTCAGGTCATGATCCCAGGGTCCTGGGATCAAGCTGCACATCCCTGCTCAGCGGGAAGTCGACCTCTCCCTCTCCCTCTGCCTGCTGCTTTCCCTGCTTGTGCTCTCTCGCTCTCTGACAAATAAATAAATAAAATCTTAAAAAAAAAGTTAGAATAATGTCTGGCCAACTATGTGTGTACTGTGGCCTGGCTGTCACAGAATTACCCATCACAAGATCTAGTAACATACGTATCCACAGGTTAGAACTCCACAAGCCTTAGCCCCTCTTAGTCAGAGCCTCACACTCCCAGGTTAAGTAATAGCGGCATCTGAGTGGGGGAAAGGCCGGTCCCTTTCCATCAAGCATGCTCCTGGACTGTGGCACAGTATTAATATCTTCAAAGAAATCTGTAAGAGATAAGAAGGCAATAAAGTTAAATGAGTTTTAGCAGACCGCAGAGGAAAAACGTAGCATACACCTTAGAAAAATCCCACTAAGGGGCGCCTGGGTGGCGCAGTCAGTTAAGCGTCCAACTCTTGGTTTTGGCTCAGGTCATGATCTGGGGGTCGTGAGATTGAGCCCTGCGTGGGGCTCTCTGCTCAGCACGGAGTCTGCTTGAGATTCTCTCCCTCTCCCTCCCCCCTCCCCCTGCTCATGTGCTCACTGTCTGTCTGTCTCTCTCTCTCTAAAATAAATACATAAATCTAAAAAGAAAAAGAAAGAAAAATCCCAATAAAATGGTGGATCTAAACGGCTTCATGGAAGGCATCCTGTTCTGGAAAATCGCCTTAAGAATACCTCTGTCCATGGTGGTGGTCTGTACTCAAGCTGAGTCTCAGTCTAAGGACTGAAGTTCCCAAAGCACAGCAAGACTCTCTCGAAGTCACTGTGAATGGCGCTCCCCTATAGTATACCCTTATTTGCAGCAAAAGCTCCATTAATTGGGGCCAAGCCGACTTAAACCTTTAATTAATTAGCATACGTTAATTATGCCTGAATTTTAAGGAAAAGAAATAATTGCAGGAAATGAGAGATTTACTCAGCGCACAAACTTGCAGGCATTTCATGTCCCCTGATGCCTCCGTTGTTCTTTTCCCACAGACTCCCCGGCCTCTGCCCAGGACCTCTTGTCCCGGATTAAACAGGAGGAGCACCCATGCGTATGGGATCAGCAGGATCTGGCAGAGAGAGATATTCCAACGGACCCCAATTCAGGTGAGCAAGATACCAGGATGAATATCAAGGACAAGGAGACTCTTACTGAACTTTGTATGCGGGGAAATCAATGTGATCACTTTTGGTTAAAGGCCAATGAAAGGCTCAGAGAATAAAATACAGCATGTTCTTCAGTTAGGAACTTCGTACGGATTTTGGAATATAACCATTCATAAAGTACAGAGGACTTTTCTTTTTTTTTTTTAATTTTATTTATTTATTTGACAGAGAGAGAAATAGAGCAGGAACACAAGCAGGGGGGGTGGGGGAGGGAGAAGCAGTCTTCCCGCTGAGCAGGGAGCCCAACTTGGGGCTCGATCCCAGGACCCTGGGATCATGACCTGAGCCGAAGGCAGACGCTTAACGACTGAGCCACCCAGGCACCCCAAGAGAGGACTTTTCTAAATGAATCATTAAATTGATAATTTATTGTGTCAACGTAACTGATACTAAAATTATTTCTGCAACAACAGTTTTTGAACAATAAACATAACCAGAAAGGCTTTTAAAAGTTGGGTATATTTCTGTGACAGAAAGAAAGAAATTTACATTTTATGCAAGTTTTCCTGGGTGAACACTAGTTAATGTCTTCCAAGAAACTTCTGGGTAAGGTCCAGGCATATAGAACAGTAAAGAAGCTCCACCCGTCTGGGGCCTGCACACATATGTGTGTGTGTGTGCATGTGTGTGTGTGGGGGTGTGTGTCCATGTGGGTATCTGTGTGGGTGTGTACGCACGCACGCATGTGCTTGCACAGCTGGGGAAGTCCAGTGTCCTCTCGTTTGGTTATGACCCATAGTCTCATCCTCCCCCACATACCAGGAAGAGAAGATCAGACATAAAATCTAGCATTCCTTGTTGTTTCAACCCTACAACTTCACAGTGGAGAAACTGAAGGGGTCCAGGCCAGGAGGGGAAGCCAGCCCTTCCTGATAGAGAGTCAGCAGTCTACACTCCAGCTCTCTCGAGACCTTTGTTCACCGCTCCTCTGGCTGCTGGTTCTGAAGTCCTACCACTCAGCCCTTGGTCCCACGGGCCGTCAGACAGCAGGCTGCCCTCTGGCCTGTTCTGGACCCAGAGTTTGCTCTGGGGCTCCGTGGACAGAGCTGGGAGATGCAGGTTCCGATCTTGGTTCTGCGTCTGCACAGACACTGGGTCGGGCCGCCTCCTCCCTGGCCGACTCCCGATGTGTAGTGAGCACGAGCGAGATACCACGTCTGAGGGCAGGGAGGGTGAGGACGGCCAGTATGAAACGCAAGACCACTGCCACCACGTGCCCTGCGAGCACCAGCAGGGACCTTTGCACGTGATGGTTCTCTAACCTCTGATGGGAGGCTCAGTGGACGTGAACAGCATCTCCGACTGCCTTCTTTCCATCAACAGAGTCTCTGATCTCGGCGCACGACATTCTGTCATGGATCAAGCAGGAGGAACAGCCGTACCCATGGGGCCCTCGCGACTCAATGGAAGGAGAGCTCGGACTAGATTCTGGCCCCAGTGAGTAACGCGCCCCCTGGGGCCCCTGGTCTTTCATCTGCGGGGATGGTTGCTTGCCTCCGCCTCCCCCACCCCCCATAGGTGATGTTCTGTCATGCCAGCCTTTCGCCCATCTGTATCAGAGCACTGTCCCCTTTCCTTTTGGAGGATGGCCGGTGTGTTTTTGTCCTAGGGCTGATTTAACCAAGTACCACAAACTGGGTGGTTTAAAACAACAGAAATGTGTTGTCTCTTCCGGTTCTGGAGACCAGAAGTCCAAAGTCGAGGGGTCGGCAGGGGCATGCCCTCTCTGAAAGCCGTAGGGGAACCCTTTCTTGCCTATCCCTAGCTTCTGGTGTTTGTAGCAAGGGTTAGCGTTCCCTTGGCTTATAGGTGCGTCGCTCCGTCTCTGCCTTTGTCCCCCGTGGTGTTCTGCCTGCGTGTCTGTGTCTTCACCTGGCTGTCTTCAGGGCCTACCCTACTCCAGTCTGACCCCATCTTAACTAATTACTTCTGTTAAGATCCCATTTCCAAATATGGTCACTTTCTGCAGTCCTGGGGGTTTGGATTTCAACACATCTTTCCAGGGGAGGTAGTTCAGCCCCTAAGAGCAGGGAAAGGAGGGTGGGCTGGGAGGGAGCTGACCCACTGGCACCTGAGCAGGAGGTAATGGTGGTGGGTGGCTCACGTACCAGAAAACACTGGCCGGAGTCCCAAGCCAGCCCTGAGCGGGCACCCCACAGTAGCTGGTGAAGATACTGAAGCTCAGATAAGGAGAAGGGTTTTGTTTTGTTTTGTTTACCCACAACAGGTATGGGACCAAACGTCTCACCTGACTTGGGTCTCCTGGGTCTTTTTTTGAAGTTCCACTTATTGGCCACAGACCTTAGGCATATGTTTGTGGATTATTTAACACTTAGCGTCTGGCTGGCATTCCTTGCCAGACCCGCTACCATCTCCTTGTTCTCAAGACGGCTGACTTAGCGTCTGCTGGTCAGTGTGCTGAAGGAGCAGCTAAACAATATATTCCTTGTGCATACTCCTGACACCCTCCGGGAGCTTAAAGTCCAGGGCAGAGCTGAGGACATAGATTATTTCTGATCTGGAAAGCCATTTAAAAGTCAGGTAAGTGGATCCCAGTGTCTGAGACAAATTTAGTCCAGTCTGGAAGGGCAGGCCGGGGCCGGAGGAGTGGGCAAGGAGCAGTATGCCCTTGTTTCAAATAGAACTTAAAGTGGTTCCTCTTCTGACCTGCTGCTGGGGTGGGGATGGGACAGGGGAAGCCAGGCCACTGTCTGTGAGGACGGGAAGAAGTGCCAGCAGTTTCCACTTCTTTCTTGACAGTGCTCAGGCCACTATTTCTGGCCTTGAAGGCATACGTACTAGTTCATCCAACCTCATGCCAGGAATTCTGCCCAAACCTTTGTCCCTCGATGCTACCATCTGATTTTTCCAAGTTGGCTAGGAGTACGTGGGCCTGGACAAGCCTTTTCCTGGAGATCTGTGTGGTTGTGGGGACGGATTTAGGGAAGTCCATGCAGAGGTTGCAAGGCTTTGCAAGTGACCAGATCATTTTACCTCCTCAATTTGGATACACCGAGTCATAGAATGATTTGCTTCATGTTTTATCTCTGGGAGGCCTTTGAACCGTAGCACTGGGGAGGCAGTGCCCAGAGTTTGGGCGACAGAAGCATCTGGAAATGCTCCTCCTACGGGCCCAGTCACCAGAGCCTCTTGACTTTCTCCCAAAGTGGGCCTGCCTTCCACTTGTTAATGTTGAAATTAGTATCTCACCTGTGGTTTCTTTGAAGTTTAAAGACATGGAATCATGTCTTCTGGAGAGGAGCTGGAAGGAGAGAGGGTAGTGGGAGTAGAGAGTAAAACACAGAACCTGTAAAACACAGGTACCCGTCCCTGCCAAACTCCTTTCCCCAGCCCGGGGGTATGCAAGAAAGACCTGGTGTCCTAGCTGACTTCAGCCTAACTGGACGTTATATTTTAGTAAAAGGGATTCCTCAATTGTATATTAAAGAATGTGTATTTTTTTAAGATTTTATTTATTTATTAGAGAGAGAGAGAGCAGGGGGGAGGGGCAGAGGGAGAGGGAGAAGCAATCTCCCCACTGAGCAGGGAGCCTGACTGGGACTCGATCCCAGGACCCCGAGATCATGACCTGATCCAAAATCAAGAGTCAGACGCTGAACCAACTGAGCCACCCAGGTGCCCCCTGGTTTACATTTTAAAAAGATAAGTTCAGGAACGGACTGCAGTGCGGGGGGAACCATGAGCCAGAAGCAGGGAAGCCATTTAGGAAGCTAAAGTGGTTGGTACAGAGCAGGTAAGAGATGACCATCCGTCAGAGTTGGGATGGGGTCAGTGCTCAGGGAGAGAAGTGGACGGGATTCAGGACAGACTCTGGACGTGTCGCTAAGGGACTATGTGTGGTGGGCGAGCGGTCAAGAGTGACACCCAGGGTTGGGCCCTGAAGAACCAGGAGAGCAGGGGCGCCCTTTACGGAAATGGTGAGTCCTGGGAAAGAGCCAGTTTACTGTGTAAACCCAGTGCTCTATGTTGGGCCTGTTCGATCTGAGATGGCATCAGGTAGGCAGATGAACGTAGCGGGGTCTGAAGTTCAAGGGAGAGCTTGGGGCTACATGAATTTGGGGATTGTAGCTTGCAACGACTTCTCACTGCAACTACCTGGAATTAGACCAAACTTCATAGGTGAAGGGCCCTGCTCCACAAGACTGCTCTTATTCGCACACCAGCTGCAAGTTCGAGGGTCCCCAGCCCACTCACTCCTGACTGGCTGGCTACAAATCCAGGGGTTCCCATTAACCCCTGAGGTTCAGCAGTTGACTAGAACAGCTCACAGGGCTCAGGAAAGCTACTATACTTAGAATTAGTTTTACTAGAGCAAAAGGATTCAAAGCAGAACTAAGCCAAAAGGAGAGATCCATAGGACCAATTCTAGAAGGGTCCTAAACACAAAGCTGGTGTCTGCTCCCTGTGGGATCAGGAGTGTCACTGTCCCAGCACAGTGATGTATGACAATACACAGAGCACTGCCCTTTAGAGAAGCTCACCCAAGCTTCTATGTCCAGAGTTTGTGCTGGAGTTTCCTTACGTACTTGTGATTGATTGAACTACGTACTGGCCGTGAGGTGAACTCATTCTCTAGCCCGTCCCCTCTCCAGAGGTTGGGCTCAAAGCCCCAACCCTCTAATCCTGTCTGTGGATGGTCTTTCTGGCATACCCAGCCCCCATCCTGAGTCCTCCCATTAGCTTAAACTGTTTAGTTAGCTTAAACTGTTGAGGCACTTACCGTGAATTACCCCGTCAGCATAAAACATCAGAGCCTACCACGAATAACAAAGACATTACTATCACCCTGGAAATTCCAAGGATTTAGAGGCTACCTCCTAGGAACCAAGGACAAAGGCCTGCTAAATTATTACACAGAGGCTGTTTTAAGGCTGGGGACTCTCTGAGATCTAGGGAGAATGTAGACAAAGAGGCCCAGGTGTGAGCCTGGAGGAAATCCAGAGGAGCAAGGGCATCACCCAGGCTAAGAGGAGAGACTCTCTCAAGAGAGGAAGGGGTCAACTAGCTCAAACACAAGGAGGGGTTGAATATGCCGGATTGGGAAGAGACAGGTGGATTGATTTGGCAGGTTGGAGGTTGTTGGTGACCTTGACAGAAGTTGTTTCGGTGGTGTACTAGGACACATGCCTGACTGTCAGAGTTAGAAAGCAAACAGTAAAAGCAAGGGTAGAGCACTCGTCAGGAATATTGGTATGAAAAGGAACAGAGATGAGGTCAGAGATGAGGTGAGACTGTAGCTGGAGCCTGGGAGCACATGGGGTCCAGGGAGAGTGTTCTTTTAAGTTGGGGGATAACTGGACCTCTGTCCAGTAAGCTGCTCTCCATTAGCTTTAGAACCCTGATTCAAACTGCCTTGAGGAACAAAGACCTGTTTTCTCCTATAGAACTAAGAGGCAGTTCAGTTTCAGCCTCAGTTGATGCAAGGATGGGGCTACATCATCCGGGACCCAGGTTCTTTCCAGCTCTCGGCTCCGCTTCCTTGGTATGACTGGAGCAAGATGGTGGCAGCTGTTCTAAGCAATCACCTCCAGACCAGAGGGAAAGGAAGGGCCATCCTTCCTGCACTCTAAGGAGTGTGAAAACTCCCAGAAGCCTCCTCCTCAATGTCATCAGCCAGAACGAGGTCCTGTGCTTCTGTCTGAATCAGTTCCCGGCCAGTGAGGTCTAGAGTAAAAGTGCTCACTTTAGAGGCTGGAGGAGAAGGTATGACGACATTCTCGCAAAGGATGGAAAAGGAGGGCACACTGAGAAGTGTAGTAGGGTGCCTCGCGGGGCGGGGGGGGTGCTTCTGAGATTTGTGCAATTTTCTCTAGCTGTCTTCAGCTGCTTGAGCACGATTGGGGGTCCCCAGGCAAGCAGGGCAGAGGAGAGGAGAGGAACAGAGGCATAAAGGGCGTTTCATGGCAAGTGACCCCAGTGCTGACCACGGGAGCCACGCTGGGTCAGGAAGGGAGATCAAAGGTTGAGAACAGTGGACTGACATGCACACGGAGTCTGAAGAGTTATCTGGGTAGGATTAGGACCGTTTCAGGCTGGGTTTCCTGGGAAACAGCCCCTGAGATGGAGGCTCCTATGCATGTGGTTTCCTTGGAGTCCTTTTGAGAATAACACCTATGAAGGAGTGAGAATAGCAGATTGTGTGGAGGGACAAACAAGGCCCACAGTCGGTTCCCCAGGATGGAAGGCCTGGCACCCGGGATCGAGGCCAGGAGAGTTACTTCAGCCTCGGCTGCTGGCCGCTGTCCTGTGCAGGGGGCTCTCTGCCTGCTCAGTTTTGATGGGGATGGAGAGGGCAGGCTGGGCCCCGCGTACTTAGGGGTGTCGTGTAAGGAGAGGCCTCAGTCAGACACTGATGAGCATGGAGGGGAAAGGGGTGGGAGCATGGTAGATGTGGCCTGAGAAATGGCCTCCAGGGAGCAGACGGGACCTGGGCGGAGGATGCCTACAAGAGGTGGGAACAAAGATTCTTCCACCAGCTGCCCCTCAGTGGAGAAAGGGCTCCTCCAGGGAGAGAGGACAGTGAACGGGCACTGAGGTGGGGGGGGGGGGGGTGAAGGAGTAAGAAGACCCCTAACTACAGTGGGCACACCAAGGAGTTCTTCAAGCAGAAGTCTGGACGGCTGGGCCTGGCACGCTGCTCTGCTGCTCAGAGCCTGGACTGGGTGCCCCGCTGACCCCGAGGTAGTGGAGGACCCGAGGGTCCGAGGAAAAGGCCGCAGTGTGTGGGCCACAACAGCGCTTTCTGGGGAGGCTGACAGGGCAGCTGCCCCCCACACCGGGTGGAGAGAGCCCCGGTCCCGTGTGGTCAAGGTGCAGATGGGGTCAGACTCCAGGGTGGGCCCGGGACCATGCTGCTGTTCAAGTCCGAAGGCCACCTGCTTAGAGGAAACCTGACTGAAAATGGCAGCATGGTTTTGGTCTGTGGGCCTCCTGTGTGGCTTTCACCTTGGATACGTTCTGGTCCATTCTTTCCCCCCCAGTGGAGAGATTCTCCTCGGATAAATTAGCACTGAACATCAGAATGCAATTAAGTCTTAGTGTTTCCTGCCAGTTCCCTTCCAACTGGACTTCCAAATAGCTCCATCCCCACCCCCATCCCCGCCTCCCTGCCCCGCTTTCTGGAGGTGTTCCCTCTCCTAACTGCGTGCTGCCTGCTCCACGCACTTCCGGTGCTTCTCCCCACCCCCCACCCCCCCCAGGTGGCTTGGGGCAGGTCAGAGGGTCAAGGAGCCCCAGAGCCACAGGGGACATGGCCTCTGGCCTTGCTCAATCCCCCCACTTTTCAGAGAAACTGAGGCCCAGATTGCCTGCGACTCGCACGAAGCCGCAGGGGAAATCGGTTAAGGACCTGGGCCCCTCCCCGGGGCGGCGGGGGTGCGGGGCCCGGACCGAGCGCGCTCAGCATGTCACGTCTCCGCGTGTCCTCCTCCGCAGGTGACAGCCTGCTGCTGGTGAAGAGCGCGCCCCCCGGGCCGCAGCCGCCGCCGCCGCCGCCGGCCCCGCCCAGCCTGCCGGTGCTCCCGGCGGCGGGCGAGCACGCGAACGCGGCGGGCGCCGGGCCCCCCGACGAAGGCTTCCCCGCGCTGGCCCGGGAGCGGGGCGCGGGCGGGGCGCAGGCGGCGGGCGCGGGCGGCGGGGGCGCGGGCGGGGGCCCCGGGGGCGGCGGCTGCGGCAGCTGCTGCCCGGGCGGCCTGCGGCGGAGCCTGCTCCTGCACGGCGCGCGCAGCAAGCCCTACTCGTGCCCCGAGTGCGGCAAGAGTTTCGGCGTGCGCAAGAGCCTCATCATCCACCACCGCAGCCACACCAAGGAGCGGCCGTACGAGTGCGCCGAGTGCGAGAAGAGCTTCAACTGCCACTCGGGCCTCATCCGCCACCAGATGACGCACCGCGGCGAGCGGCCCTACAAGTGCTCCGAGTGCGAGAAGACCTACAGCCGCAAGGAGCACCTGCAGAACCACCAGCGGCTGCACACGGGCGAGCGGCCCTTCCAGTGCGCGCTCTGCGGCAAGAGCTTCATCCGCAAGCAGAACCTGCTCAAGCACCAGCGCATCCACACGGGCGAGCGGCCCTACACGTGCGGCGAGTGCGGCAAGAGCTTCCGCTACAAGGAGTCGCTCAAGGACCACCTGCGCGTGCACAGCGGCGGGCCCGGGCTCGGCGCCCCTCGGCAGCTCCAGGCGCCGCCCGAGCACGACTAGGGCTGGGCTGGGGGAGGGCAGGGCCCGGAGGCGGGAGCAGGGGGGCGGGGGGAGGTGGGGGGGCGGGCCTGGGGGGGCGGCCGGAGCGCCCCTGATCCTGCCCCTGGTTCTCGGCGCGCCTTCCCTCCCTCTATCTGCCACCTGCTGGAAATTGGGAAGAGGAGTTGCACTCCAGACGGGGTCCCCCAAGGCCCCCTAGACCTGTCTGGCCTAAATGGATGGCCAGCTCATCTCGTAGGGTGGACCAAGGGGCCGGCTGAGCGTCTTCCCTCAGGGAAGGTGCCAGAACGGACGGTGAGGGGGCGAGAGGCTTCGGGCATCCCCCTCAGACACCGAGCGTGCCCGTTTGGCCACTGGAGTCCCGGTTTGTGATCGGGGGAAGCAACTAGGGAGTCTCAGAAGCCCTCTGAGATAAATGAGGTCCTACGGTTAAGAGATGCTGAGTAAGGAAGCAGAAGTGTGACGAGGAGATGAGGAACGGGCTAAGGGGTAACATCTCTGATGACAGCACTGCCTCGCGTTCTAATAGCGCTTTAGACTTTTTTAAACGTGTTTTCTATCCGTTACCCGTTTTCACCCTTAGCCTGTCCCTCTGAGGTACGTGGGGTAGGATTGTCCCTACTGCGAAAAGAGACCCAGGTGGATGGTTTGCCAGGACGACACAAGAAGAGAGCCGCGGGGCTGGGACCAGGGCTCCTGACCCCAGTGCAGTGTCCCCCACCACACACACTGCCTACCTCCCATGTCTGAGAGACTTCTGTGGCCTGGCCTTTCTTGTTCTCTCTCTCCTGTCTCCTTCCCCTGAGCCGCCAAAACTCAGAAGCAGCAGGGGGCCAGCTCCCGGGGTTTCTGGGGGTTGGGGGACCCATCAGCAGCTACACAATGCCCTGGGTTGTGCATCTGAAAGGCTCTTCCTGTGTAGGCATTCCTGGGCAGGAGGTCCCTCCCCAAGCCTGTCCTTCCCACCTCCAGTCCTTCAATCTGGTGCAGCATCTTTTCACTGCCCAGGAGTGACCCAGCCCTCCGAGGCAGCTGGTGCCCTGGGTCAGACCTCACTTTGTTGATTTATTCCAGTTTCCCCAGGGCCAAGGGGTGAGGGAGAGGCTCCTGCTGCTGGAGCAGCCATCAAAGAAGCGAGTCTCTTCCCAGGAGGGCCGGGCAAGTGGGTGCTAGAGTCTGAGAGCCTCAGTCTCCTGCCCTGAGCCTCCCAACTGGTGCTATCTGTTAACTGACCATGCTCAAGGACATGGACACAGACCCTATTCTGCCCCAGACCCTGCAGGCGCCTCGGGAGGCGCCCAAAGGACTCCCTTGAGTTGGTGCATCTGCTCCGTGGTCCTGAGGGGCCGTGGTCTCCATTTCTGCATCTTGCATGACCAGGCACTGGGATGGGGTGGCGCGCCCCAAGACCCTTGTTTGTGTCAAGAATGACTTTTCCTGCTCCTCCCATCGATCCTGCTTCTCTCCCAGTTCAGGGAGCACAGTGAGCAGCCGGCACCCGGCGCCACGTTTGTGAGCATTCTGCTTCCACCCTTCCCCTCATCTGCGCCGCTCTGCTTTCCTCAGACCCCTTTTTGCCATGCAAAGGGAATTCTCGAAATTAAATAAACGGTGTCCAGATTGCAGACTGCATTTTCACAAGGCCAGAGGGTTCTGCAGCGTGGCTCCGTAATGAGCTGGAATCCAACTAACTGGGGTTTTTTTTTTTCCCCCTTCCTTCTGCTTTCTAAGAAGAGGAGTTGAGAAGTTAAACAGACAAATTCAATGGAATTTTTGTTTGTTTGGGGTTTTTTTTAGAGCAGAAGGGAACACTCTAGTCCAGTGTTTTGGTTGGGAGGAGGCAGTATTCTGCTTTAAAAAGTATATGCAGGAAATCAATATTTTCATAATCTAAATCACAGAGAATAAGACCAACAGTTTTTTCTTAATTTTTTAAATTAATTTATTTTTGTGGCTGTTGAGAGTGTGAAAGGGGAGAAATTCCATTTGAGACGTGGGTTTGGAACACCTGAACACATAGCTGGAGTCCCTCCCTTTAGTTTAACCTCAAGGAGCTGATTCCCAAAGAGGGTTAGTGACTGAGCCAGAGAGAGGGCCAGGGCCATCTGGTTCCCACATCCTGGTCTGGCGGATGCTGCCACACCAAGTGTCCCCTCAGCTACACTGGGAGACACCCCAGCCTCCAGCACTGGCCTTGGACATGTCCTAGAGTGAGCTCCACCCCTGGAGCTGATCAGAGGTGGTGACACTCGGTGTGGACCTCTACCAGGGAGCAGAGGTCCTTATTGAAGCAGGACAAAGGTCAAGGGTCCTGCTTTGAAGGTGGATTTTTATTTTCCTTCTGATAATGTGTTAATTAAAGTTAACTATTTTAATTTAAAAAATGCATGCAGTAAAAATTTAAATGGTAAAAAAACAAAAAAAGACACAAGAGTAAAACTCTTTCCTACCAGACTCCCTGTTGAGAGATACCCATGCTAAGAGCTTCTTATATGTCCTTCCAGAACTGGAGAAGTCAAGGCTCGGAGGATGAGTTGGATGGGGCAGAGGGAGAGGAGACAGGAGGCAATGTGGGATGAAGATGAAACATGGCAGGGAGGCAGTAATTGGGATTGTAAGACAGGAGACTGGCCTGGTCATACTCAGGATGTGAGGAAGTTGTAGGTGATGTAGTTTCAAGGTGAGTCAAGGCCAGGCCATGGAAGGCCTTGAATGCCAAGACTATTCCATAGACAAGCTATCAATTAGCCTGGGATCTGCTGTGCCACAGATCCCTCATAGCCACCTTAGAACTCTTTAGGAGCCCAGGGGTGCCTGGCTGGCTCAGTCGGTAGAGCATGGGACCCTTGATTGCGGGGTCAAGCCCCATGTTGGGTGTAGAGATGACTTAAAAAACTTTTGTTTTTAAGATTTTATTTATTTGAAAGAGAGAGAGCACGAGCAGCCAGGAGAGGGAGAAGCAGGCTCCCCACTGAGCCGGGAGCCCAACGTGGGGCTTGATCCCAGGACCCTGGGACCGTGATCTGAGCCGAAGGCAGACGCCCCTAAAAAATCTTTAGATGCCCAGAGTGTATAGCTCTGAGAGGTCAGAGGAGTGAAAATGTTAGTCTTGAGACAGCAAGTTTAAGCTGGACACCACTGAAAATGAACAATGACAAGGGAACAGTTCTCTTACAATCAAGGTTTTGGGCACCATAACTGGCTCTCTCAGATCTGGTCCCAGAATATTGGGTGTTGGAGAGTGAGGGGAAGGAGGGAACTTCACACTGGGCTCAAGATGAACTAGCCTAGGACTATATTTAACGGTTTTGGTTTATCCGATTGTTAGAAAAACATGCCACCAGAGCATCCTATCAGCCTGGGGCCCTGAACAGGACCATTTGGGGGATGCAATGGCTGGCATTCCATCTGCCGCTGACTCAGGGAGCCATTGTGGGGGGATATTTCTAAAAGGGTAATTTTTTTTAAAGGTTTTATTTATTTGAGAGAGAGAGAGCATGAGCAGGGAGGAGAGGGAGAAGCAGGTCCCCTGCTGAGCAGGGAGCCTGACACAGGCCTGGATCCAAGGACCCTGGGATCATGACCTGCAATGAAGGCAGACACTTAACCGACAGCCACCCAGGCTCCCCTAAAAGAGTAGTTCTTGAGAAGAGGGATCTTGGGTGTGAGAATCTCACTCCCCTCTCCTGGCCCACACCATCCTGTGAGGTTCCCATAGGTCCCCTTCCATAAGAGTCTTAATTCTAGTGTGATGCTGGCACTGTGTCCTAAAGGTTGAGCACCTCTATTCAAATCTCTTGAGATGTATTTTAAACCAACATCATCCCCTGGCATAGGAATTTCTGTAGGTTTTCTTTCTCCTGTTAAAAGAGAAAACTGCCTTTGATTTGTATCCCGTTCAAGATTCAAGGGAGATCCCATATCCAGTCTTAGAAGTGAAAGCCAGTGTAGGTTACTTGGGTGTCCCCACAACTTCCATCCCTATGGGGCCAATATCCTTTGACCATAAAATGACTTGAGTCCCCAGTCAGCAGCCCCTGCCCCATATCTCAAGGATGTGGGGGTGAGGAGGGGAGTGGGAGAGGGAGAAGCAGGTTTCCCGCTGAGCGGGGAGCCCGATGCGGGGCTCGATCCCAGGACCCTGGGATCATGACCTGAGCCAAAGGCATATGCTTAACGACTCAGCGCCCCTAGATTTTACGTTAATACATTCAAAATTCAAAATGGATAAAAGGATGTGCAGAAGAAAACAAAAAAACTCCTTGTCACCCAGTCACCCAGTTCCTCTACCTGACGCTGACTAGTCAACTATGGAGAAAGGGGAAGTTTCTGGAAGGAAGCTGGAATCCTTCACAGATTCAAAGGAACAGTTGAACGACCAATCCTAGCAGAGAGAATAATGTGTCTCTCATCTCTGCTCCTTTTCTGTATGTTGGGATCATTCTTTAAAACCAACTTAAACTCCAAGAAATGGGGACAAGACTCTACCTGACTCATACATTTATAGCTTCACTACAGAGGAAATTAACCTGTCCCCTCAGCTCTAGTTAGAAAGATCCCAGGGAAGAGCTCTGATTGGTTCAGCTTAATCATATGCCCACCCCTGGCTCAATTACTGTGGCCAGGAGGCTAGGATGCTATGATTGGACTGGCTTGAGTCAGATGCCCACCCTTCATGGAACAAGATGGCAGCACCCATTCTAAGTACATGGCTAGAGCCCAGGGAGGAGCTGTCCCCGAAGAGAAAGAGGTGCATCTATGCCCAGGAGAAGGGAAAAGTGCTAGGTTGACAAAGCTAACAGATGTCCACTGCCTGTGGACACACTGTGTCAACTGTCCGCTGTGTCCATACACACATATATGGGGGGCAGGGGTGGTGTGCAGCTGGAACCAAGATATATTCATTCCAGGAGTCTCACGGACCTGGAGGCCTGCAGGGGGGCACGCTCCCCAGGAGGTTATTTATGTGAGAGAAGGATCACAAAAGACCTGGTCCCTGCCATCTAGAGACTTGTGGGATAATAAAGGGACGAGAATAGAAAGGGTTTCAACTAGAATAAAACCATGGTCCATAAACTTTCTCGAGTAAAAAAAAGTTTGGGCATACATATATGTACATATATATGTTAATATGTATGCTATAAATCATATGCACAATAGAACATTTAAAGGACAAGAGAAATATTTTTAAGGCATTATTTTAAACTTAATTTGTATTATATGTGATTCAAAGGATACTTTCTCCTGTCACTAGAAACGAGGATGTGGGTAAGATAATGTCTAAGGTCAGTTTCAGCTCTGAATGTTAACGTTCATATTTTATAGACACAGATGACAGGTTACAAGTACTAAGTACATTTTCTCGAGTCCTTTAATACCACTGCCACCAATGGGAATAATTATGAGCCTTATTTAAAAGTTTATTTAAAGGCCCAAGCCGGGCGCCTGGGTGGCTCAGTTGGTTAAGCGACTGCCTTCGGCTCAGGTCATGATCCTGGAGTCCCTGGATCGAGTCCCACGTCGGGCTCCCTGCTCGGCAGGGAGTCTGCTTCTCCCTCTGACCCTCCCCCCTCTCATGTGCTCTCTCTCTCATTCTCTCTGTCAAATAAATAAATAAAATCTTTAAAAAAAAAAAAGGCCCAGGTCAAGATCTGAGTGTCATTGGGAAAGGACAAATGGGAAGCTTCTAAGAGACACAACAAGGTAACATTTATGTTGGTGAATTCACTGCAGCTCAAGGTTTGGACCTTGCAACAGCAAAACATACCAAAATGAGAAATCGCTGGTCACTGAGTGCTTGCTATACGCCAGGCATTCAGTGACGCGAGCATTTGACTTACACTTGTGATTTCTTTTAATCCCATCAACAACCCAAGGATGCGATGTTTGTATTCTTCGTGGGAAGACACTGAAGCCGAGGGAGCATACACCACACCACTTAGTGACGGAAGGAGCCGGAACACAAAGATTAATAGTGATCAGGAGCACTTTTTGAACCCTTCACCTGACAGGCACTGTTCTAAGCACTTGAACTAACTCATTTAATCTGCACAGCAACTCTGAGCTATGTGCTATTATTATTGCTCACTAATAATGAGGAAATGGAGATGCCAAGAAGTTAATGACTTGTCCACATCTAGTAAGTGGGAGAGACCAATGGTCTCGCTTTTCCCTTCCCTTCCTTTCTTCCTTCCTTCCTTCCTTCCTTCCTTCCTTCCTTCCTTCCTTCCTTCCTTCTTTCTTCCTCTCTCGCACTCTCTCTCTCTCTCGATATCAGTATAGATACTATTATTTTGCCCCAAGTTTTAAAACATTTGCAATTTGAAAAAATGGTTTCTTTTCTTTTTACTGATTCAACAATTCCCTGTTACTCAGTGCTTATCAAGATAAGTGTGTTCTTAATCCTCTTCACCTATTTCACCAATCCTTGGCTCTGCTTTCTAAAGCATCATGCACACCATCTCTGCAAGCCCATGAAATTCAGACCAGTGCCTGGTGCTTCCTCCTTTGCACACTGGAAATTTTATCTAAATATTTTCCCAGTGTTCCAGGCTCAGAGTCAGGGGTGCTGAATCATCGTGACTCTCAAGAGACTGATGGATAAGCCAGAGCATCAGTTTAATAATTTCCAGGGGTGGACTGGACATTTGTATCAGCCTGACCTGCACATTGTCTCCCAGTAGCTACACGGGAACCTGCATCATCAGACTACCTGGTGAACACAGAAACTGCTAATGACCCCAGTACCCAGTATCCTATGTCCTGATATGTCTGTCTCCACAGATATGATACATTTTTCTCTGTGTCTGACAGTAAGTTTTTGTTGGTCTGAGAAAGTAGGTCAGACCCTAGACATATCTCAGTGGCTGACTGGTTTCCTCAGCTTGACCCATCTTTTCTTTATTTTTTATTTTATTTTTTTAAAGATTTTATTTATTTCACAGAGACACAGTGAGAGAGGGAACGCAAGCAGGGGGAGTGGGAGAGGGAGAAGCAGGCTTCCCCCGCCAAGCAGGGAGCCCGATGTGGGGCTTGAACCCAGGACCCTGGGATCATGACCCAAGCCGAAGGCAGATGCCCAACGATTGAGCCACCCAGGCGCCCCCCATCTTTTCTTTAGATGTATTAATAATCCGGTCAGTCTCCTATTGATCTGGTTGCTGTGGACATTATGCCTTCTCCTGGAGGTGACTTTACCTACCCTTATTCTCTGGTTCACCATTCAATCATCCAAAGATATTTATGAGCACTTCAGTGTGCAAGAAATGTTATATACTGTGGAGGGACATTTTAGTGAAAGGGACACATCACTATCATGTAAACTGATGAAAAAATTAAGTTATTTTGGTTAGTGATAGTGCTGTGAAAACTTTTGATCGGAGAATCAGGATTGAGTGTTGGGATGGAGAAGGGTGTTGGACTGTAGGCAGAGTGGACGGGAAATGTCTCTCTGAGGAGATGCAGTCTGAACTGAGCCCTGCATGCTAAGAAGGAGCCAGTCTGTTGATTTTTTTTTTTAAAGATTTTATTTATTTGACACAGAGAGACACAGTAAGAGAGGGAACACAAGCAGGGGGAGTGGAAGAGGGAGAAGCAGGCTTCCCGCGGAGCAGGGAGCCCGATGCGGGGCTCGATCCCAGGACCCTGGGATCATGACCTGAGCTGAAAGCAGATGCTTAACGACTGAGCCACCCAGGTGCCCCCAGTCTGTTGATCTTAAGAGTTTAGTTCTCAGGGGAAGTGCTTCGGGACTGTAATTCGAAGTGGAAGTTCATTGCCTGTCTCTGTAGAGACCATGTGGTACAAATTAGGCAAGTATGGTTGCAGTAGTGTTTTGTATTGGGTGATCCAAATGGAAATGCAGCCATGCTTTCCAAATCAAAATTCCGAACTCATCATTTAACAGTAACATGTGGACTGGATTAAACATTTGAAATCAGGGCTATCTTGGATTTTCCAAGGCATGTGATTACCGTAATTAATAGGATACAATGGGTTGGCCTGGGCACCTTGACCCCACACTGTTGATGTAGAAAGTGTATTTCCAGTTTCTTTCTTTCTTTCTTTTTTTTTAAGAGAGAGTGATAGAGTATGAGCAGGGGGAAGGGCAGAGGCAGGGGCAGAGGGAGAAGCAGGCCCTTCCACAGAGCGGGAAGCCCAATGTGGGGCTCCACCCCAGGACCCTGAGATCATGACCTGAGCCAAAGGCAGAAGCTTAACCAACTGAGCCACCCAGGAACCCCATGTATTTCTGGTTTCTAGAAAGCCACATAACAGATGAACAAATGGAATAAAACCACATGTCATTTGGCACCATATCTTTTTTCCCCAAGTAAATTACATATTCTTCCCTCAGAGCAAAGTGTGACTTTTTTTTTAATTTTTAAAGATTTTTATTTATTTATTTGAGAGAGAGAGAATGAGAGAGAGCAAGCACATGAGAGGGGGAGGGTTAGAGGGAGAAGCAGACTCCCCGCGGAGCAGGGAGCCCGATGCGGGACTCGATCCAGGGACTCCAGGATCATGACCTGAGCCGAAGGCAGTCGCTTAACCAACTGAGCCACCCAGGCGCCCCAAAGTGTGACTTTTATACATTTTGAATCCCTCAAAGCACCTCGCCGAGTGCTGGGCACGAAGAAGACACAACAAGGCCCACGTTTGCCTTACATTTTCAACCTGCGCTTGACTTGGAGGGAGCAAGCCCTTCTGCGGTCGCACACTCTGGCCCGAGCGCCGAGCTGCTGTTCATCCTCCTGCCGCACGGCGGCGCCCTGGAAATCCCGTGCGGTGGGGACGAGCCGCTGGAGCCGCTCTTGGCGCGGGAGGGCCGAACTCCCACAATGCATCTTGTATCAACACGGCTCTGGTGGCGGCTCTGAGGAGGGGCGGGGGGCGCCCACCGGACCGGCACGCAGCGCGAGGGGTATCAGGCGGGGCCTGGGTGTTGAGGGGCGACTGGCGGCCATGGCGGAGTCGGCGCCTGCTCGGGTAAGGGTGCCCCCGGCACGGATCGCGGGCGCGTTCGGGATGGCGGAGCTCCTGGCCGGGGCGGGGCTTCGAGGTTGGGACTCCGGTGGGGCTGGGGGTCCCGGGGTTTCCCGGGCTGCTCCTAGCGAACACCGGCCTCCTCCCACGACCCCAGGGCTCTGCCTTCCCCCTCTCCGGCTCCTTCCCTGTCGGGCCGGAGCCCCAGCGCCACACACCGTTGCCGAGAAACTTCTCCGAGGCTTGTTTCGTGTTTTTTGTTTTGGTTTTTTTTTTTTTTTTTTAGTATTTTTGTTTTTTTGAGAGCGCGCGACAGAGCGCGCGCACGAGCTGGGGGAGGGGCAGAGGGAGAGATTTTTCTTTTTTTCTTCAGAGAGAGGAGAGCGAGCGAGCGAGCGCGGGGCGGGGGAGGGGCAGAGAGAGAGAATCTTTTTTTTTTTTTTTTTTTTAAGAGAGCGCGAGCCGGGGGCGGAGGGGCAGAGGGAGAGAGAATCCGTTTTTTTGTTTTGTTTTGTTTTGTTTTTTCTGAGAGCTCGAGCGGTGGGGGAGAGAATATTTTTTAAGAGCCCGCGGGGGGGGTGGCGGGCAGAGGGAGAGAGAATCCTTTCTTTTTTTGAGAGAGCGGGGGTGGGGTGGGGTGGGGGGAGGGGCAGAGGGAGAGAGAAAATCTTAAGCAGGCTCCATGCCCGTTAGGGAGCCGGAAGCCGGGCTCCAGCTCATGACCCTGAGATCATGACCAGAGCCGAAATCAAGAGTCGGTGGCTTAACTGACTGAGCCACCTAGCAGCTGGAAAATGTAAAGGATATACCAGGTAAAAGGAAAATTATCCCAAACGTAAAGTCTGAAAATGTAAGCAAGTATGATGATCCATGGAAATGGGTAAATCTGAACAAATATTGACTGAATGAAACAGTAATGATCTTTTGTGAGGTTAAAAACAAAGGCAAATTAAAATACATGGCAGCATTGGTGTAAAGGTTAGGAAGAGATCAGAATTCATTTGTTTAAAGGTCTTTGTAAGTATACTTCCCGTAATATCTAGGATACTTGCTAAAAGACTAGAAATGGGCTGTAAAACTTACAAGTTAGAAGAGGAAGTAGTAGAATAAGAAAAAAAATCACCTAAAGGAAGGCAAGAAAGACGAGCACCAAAAAGGCAAAAAATCAAGAAAAATAGATCAACAGTTACAATAAATGTAAATGGAGGAAATGTTTTAGTTAAAAAGCAGAAAGTTGTCATATGGTTTGTAAGAGATACAAAAGACAAAACTACAGAAATGGTTGAACATAAAAGATATGGAAACATACCCGACTAATCAAAAGAAAATTGGTTCAACTGTATTAATATTGCTAGAGATCGAGGCTACTATTATTTTTGTAATGGTAAGACTCAGTTTATCAGCTTGATATTCTAATATTTTACATGTAATTATATAGCCTCAAAATATATAAAACAGGGCGCCTGGGTGGCTCAGTTGGTTGAGCGACTGCCTTCGGCTCAGGTCATGATCCTGGAGTCCCGGGATCAAGTCCCGCATCGGGCTCCCTGCTCGGCAGGGAGTCTGCTTCTCCCTCTGACCCTCCCCCCTCTCATGCTCTCTCTATCTCATTCTCTCAAATAAATAAAATCTTTAAAAAAAAAAAAAATATATATATATATAAAACAAACTGACAACTACAAGGAAAACTGGCATGGTAGAAGACTAACAAAACCTTAAGTTTTTATCAAGCAGAAAAAAAAATTAGGGTGTAGTGCATCCGATAGAACTTTCTGAGATTATGGAAATAATCTGCTTTGCACTGTTCAATATAGTCACTAGAAATATATGGCTATTAAGTACTTGAAATGTAGGTAGTATGGCTGAAGAACTGAATTTTTAATTCAGTTTTAATTAATTTAGATTTAAATAGCCATGTGTTTCTAGTGGGCTTTTGGACAGCACAGATAGAGATTTCTTTAATCCATATATCTTGTCAAAACAATATCAACGTGTAGGCATGCCTCAGTTTATTGAGCTTTGCTTTCTTGCACTTCGTAGATGCTGTGGTTTCGTTTCTTTTTTTTCCCCCACAAATTGAAGGTTTGTGGCAACCCTGTGTCAAGTCTCTCAGCTGCCATTTTCCCAACAGTATTTGCTCATTTTGTGTCTCTTTGTCACAATTTGGTAATTCTCACAGTATTTTAAACTTTTTCATTATTATATTTGTTATGGTGTTCTGTGATCAGTAATTATGCTTGCTAAAAACTCAGATGATGGTTAGCCTTTTCTTTCTTGCAATAAAGTATTTTTAAATTAAAGTATGTACTTTTTTTATAGATACAATGCTATTGCTCACTTAATAAGCTGTAGTAAATTTATATGCCCTGGGAAACCAAAAAATTCATTTTACATGCTTTATTATGATATTTGCTTTATTGTGGTTTCTGGAACCAGATTTGCAATGTTTCTGAGGTATGCCTCTATAGAGAGATTAATGAAGAAAAAATGAGAGGGAAAGAGCCTTTAATTTTTTAAATTTTTTAAAAGATTTTATTTATTTATTTGACAGAGAAAGACAGCGAGAGAGGGGGAACACAAGCAGTGGGAGAGGGAGAAGCAGGCTTCCCGCCGAGGAGGGAGCCCAATGTGGGGCTCGATCCCAGGACCCCGGGATCATGACCCGAGCCGAAGGCAGTCACTTAACGACTGAGCCACCCAGGCGCCCCCAAAAGAGCCCTTTTAGAAATGAAAATGTGTTCTGGCAGTTCACTGTAGGCTGGGACAGTAGGTAGGGCTGTTAAACTGAGTATCTCCGCGTGCTTTCTCCATGTGGCTTGGGATTTTTCAGGTGTTTTCCAGAGCCTGCCTGCTTATGATTTGTTCCACTTGACATGGAATGGAGCAGAGACAAACTGTTCCTTACAAACCCTTCTTGAATTGCAGATTCATGAGCAAAGTAGATGTTGTTGTCTTAAGCCACTAAATATTGGGATTATTTGTTGTGTAGTGATCAGTGGTTGGAACAGGTACCTAGGGAATATGTTAAAATATTGAAAGTTATTAAAAATACCTTGAAAAAGGAGTGGCAAACTGTATGGATACATTTATCTATGGATTTGATACAGACAAAATCTCTAAAGACATTTTTGAGACTTCTTTTTTTAAAGAGGTTTTATTTATTTGAGAGAGACTGCACACATGCATACGTGGGAGGGGGGAGGGGAGCAGAGGGAGAGGGAGAAGCAGGCTTCCCTGTTGAGCAGGGAGCTTGAGTGGGGCTTGATCCCAGGATCCTGGGATCATGACTTGAGCCGAAGACAGGGCCACCCAGGTGCCCTTGTGAGACCTTTCAAGTGTGTAAAGAATATCAACGTCCAGTATAGTCAAGATAATCCTATAAAACAAGGAAGTGGAACTTGTCTTACCAAATATCAGTAATTATTTTTTAAGAAGCCGTGGTTGTTAAAACTATAATATTGGTAAGGCAATATGAAAAATACCCTACAGAACAAGACTAGAGATGCCAGAGACAAATTGCTATGTATGAAAATTTGATTCATGACAGAGATAGCATTATAAATCTTTGGGTATATCAATGGATTTTTCATCATATAATATTAGGTCTATTGATTTCCTGTATGAAAATTGAGCCCTGCACCACACACAAATATCAGTTCTAGTTGAGTTACTCAGATGTGAAAACAAAACTGAGTGTTTAGAAGACAATATTGTGGGATATCAATATTTTTTTTTTCACCTGACACAGAAGTTCAAACCATAAAAGAATTCTGATGAAACTCAACTGCATTAATTTTTTTTTTTTAAGATTTTATTTATTTATTTGAGAGAGAGAATGAGATAGAGCATGAGAGGGGGAAGGGTCAGAGGGAGAAGCAGACTCCCTGCTCAGCAGGGAGCGCGATGCGGGACTCGATCCCGGGACTCCAGGATCATGACCCGGGCCTAAGGCAGTCGCTTAAACAACTGAGCCACCCAGGCGCCCCTGCATTAATTTTTTTATTACAAGATAATACAGTGAATTTTAAAAATGAGGCACAAATAAGGAGAAAATGTTTGCAACACGTATAGCATGGATAAAGATTAGTATCCAGAATTTTCAGAGAAATTCTGAGCTAGAAAGTCAGATAACCCAAAAGATAAACGGATAAAAGACTTGAGCAGGTAGTTCACTGAAGGTATTTGAATGGCCAGTAAATATTTAAAAGATGCTTACCCTTATTAGTAATCAAGGAAAGTATAGATGGAAACCATGATGACATATTTCAGACCTCCTGGAGGGACCAAATTTTAGTCTTACAGTAGCAAGTGTTGACATAGTTGGGAAACATCCAGCATACATATTTCTGACAGGAGTGAAATTCATACAACCACTTAGAAAACATTTGGCATTACTTACTGAAGTTCAAGTTGTGTATATACCCTGTTAGCCAACAATTCCTTCCTAGGACTATACCCT